TATATATATATATATCATATTTTTCACATGAGTGTTTGGCTTTTACAGACCTAGTGAAACTCGTTCCCACAGCTGTGTTATGAATATCCACAAATCACAGCAGACAAATCAATCAGCTGTGGACTTCTTAAAACAGCTGGACACATGTTGGGAATGTTTTCCACGTTCAGTATCTCAGATTAGCGCCTCAGCATAACGTGAATGGCTCATTTCATTATGAAAAGTTTAAAAAGGTATAAATTTGCCCTAAAAGAGATGATTAAACAAACTTAAAAAAATTATCTCGACATGTTGAGTCAGATCTGTGGAACGTTTGAAAATGAGTGTTCATATGGCTTTTGTCTCTGAAAGGAGTGCCTAAACCTAAAAAAAACAAACAAAAAAAAAAAAAAACAGAGTATTTGTTCGACTATAATGCTTTGATTCAGATTAATAACTCAAAGTCTGGCTCCTGTAGTCACTTCCAGGAGTGAACAGAACATAGCACCGGGACAAACGGCAACATTTCTGAGGTATGTCAGAATAACAACTACAGACACATGTGAGCAGGTGGCTTTCCCATTAAAATACAGGTTTCCTCTCCTTCTGCTCCTTCTGCTGTCAGCAAAGCCCCCGTGTTAAAATGAACCATCGAAACATGAAAGGGAGTTCTCACCTTCCCAGAATAAAAACAAGGTGATGGATCTCTAATTAAAGGTGAGAGGTAATGCTATTCTGGGTGGGTTTATGGTGGAATGTGCTGCAGATGACTGGTTTGAGAAATATCGGACTGCAGCATATCACTGCCCCCCCACTCAGCCCCTTCCTCCCAGCCCCAGCACACCTTCCTGGCAGATTCCAGTGCTCAGTTAATTGGACAGGGAGAGTGGGCTGAGAAGGGAAGCGTTCAGGCCCATTAGCAATCCTCCCGTGGAAAGCTGAGCCGAGAGGATCACAGACTCACAAATAGGAGGATTAAAATAATCAATAGGCCTCTCTCTCTCTCTCTCTCTCTCTCTCTCTCTCTCTCTCTCTCTCTCACTCCTTCAGTGCAGACGACACACACACACACACACACACACACACAGCACTACACAGATATGCACACACACGTTCATGAGCAAATACAAACACACTCAGAGTCCGAGGAATTCTAGTTCAAGGTGCAATTTTCCTCTCCCAGTGCTGTCTGTGGACTTTCACAAATTAGTCTGGGTCATGCAAGACACCCCCCCCCACACACACACACACACACACTTACACCTTTTCTTTGTTAATACAGGCTAGTTTCAGCCTCTGACCAAATGAAGACCATTAAAAAGGTCATACATGTGAGAACATTCTGACATATCAGACACATTTGATTCAATAACTTCTGGGGTTTCTTTGTTTTTTCGTCTTTGACAATGTTGCTTAAAAACACTTTTGATGATATCAGTTACAAGGGGTGCGTAATGGGGTAGCTTTAGAGTTGAACCCAATGGTGCAGGCAGACCACAGAGAACTCAGGCGGAAAAATAAATAACTATTTATTAACAAAACAAACACAAAGGCTGACGAGGCAGCAAAACTCATTTGTACAGGACGTAGGAGAACACGGGAATCAAAGCTTGACATGTGGAGACATCATCAGACATTGACCAGCTTACGAAGAACACGAATGCAGACTTACAAACACACACAATAACAAGGACAATGACAAACCTGGGAAGATGACAGGTGACAGAGGAAGAGCTAATCACATGAGGACACAACAGGAATAAACAAATAAACAGGAACACAAGGGGAAGCCCAACACCAAATAAACACAATCCTCACACAGGCTCACAGTCTTCTTCTCAGATTTGGAGAAAGAACATGTTCTGTAGATATTTTCTATCAATAAACTATTTAAATCATACAGTTTTCTTATGGACAGTATGAAACTTGGATATTTGCTGTAATAAAAAAATTCCAGATTTTTTGCCTGACATATCAAGTTCAAGTTCAAGTCAAGTTTATTGGCATCACATGTGATACAGGAAGTGGAATGAAATTATGTACTCAGGGTCCCAGTTACACCCCAAAATAGCAAAAATATAAAGTATAAAAAGAAACAGTATATAATATACAAGGATCTATATAAAGAAGGCCTCTTTGATTTAAAAGGCCTTTAATAATGGTAACTCTGGCATTTTTCTGCAAAGTGTTGGCGTTTGAAACCAGACTAGAAGAGAGATGAATGTACTTTAGTTTGAAACACATAACAAACTAATTAAATATAGTGACACCCCATCTCAGATATTTTAATAAAACTCACACACACAATAGTAAAGCTTTAGCACCAACAATTTAAAAACAGTGATGTAGAAAGGACATGCTATGTTTCATGTCATTTATAAAATGTGACAAAAATAAACTGCCATTGATGCCAATTCTTTATGTTGAGAATGACAACTAATTTGTGTAAAATCAGAGTAACAACAATCAAAGATAAATATATATCTAAAATGAATTCACTATGCAGTCGCATGTTTTTAAAGTTGTGCAAAAAAAAGAAGCATATTTTTAAAAATGTATTCAAATTATGTGGTCCAGCATGACCCAATGTCTTATCTTTGCGTAAATTATTTTTTTTAATCATTTGAAAAGTGAGGACGATGCGGGCCTTTGATATGCCACATTACTTGATCTTCATCTGACAATGTTTGAATAACTATAATTTTATGAACATGAACATTGGATCTAGATGAAAAAAGCATATATATTTTTTTAAGTACATGAAAGAATGTATATCTCAGCCAGAACTTCCATTGGTCTTATTAAGATGTCCACAATGTAATATCTGTAGGGACCATCTTCTAGTTCTTATTTTTTCCACTTTTAATATATAAAGTAAGTGGATTAGTGATACTGTATATAGCCAAATGTATGCATTCTAAAAATTTTAGCATGAATAAAGTTTATTTAATATATTTTCATGAATTTTGACAGTTTTCATTTTAGCCTACATTTAATTGCCCTTTGTCTCATATACCATACCATAGCATAGCAGCTTTATTTATAGAGCACATTGAATACCCACAGGACAAAAGTGATGTATACATAATAAAACAATCAGATAATCAGATAATAAAGAACAATTCAAATAACTAAAAGTCAACAAGGCCAGGGAGAAGAGATGGGTTTTAAGAAGGGATTTATAAACAGACAGGGAAATATGATCTAGCAGTTGGTCAAAACTGTGTACATTAAAAAAAAAACATGTATTCGAAAATGAAATCTTAGACTGAACCATAATTAAAGGAGTATCATTTCATGTAGCTTTAAATTATCATTATGATGGAGGGTGAAAACATAATTTGCACAACTCTGCCCCCTGCTGGTCATCTGTTGTCACCACAGTGCCGCGGTCAGTTGCAGTAGCACGCTCTGTCCGCTAGGAGGCAGCCAGCCGACGTCGACTAGTTGTCTGCAGGCAAAGATGGCGGTGCGGAAGAAAGACGGCGGCCCGAATGTAAAATATTTCGAAGCGTCTGACACCGTTTCGCAGTTTGATAATGTCCGCGTCTGGCTGGGAAAGAATTACAAAAAGGTACCGAGCGCATGTTTTGTAAGCATGCACCTGGGAGCTGTAGTTTTCCGCCCTGAAATGTACGCGCTTTACCTATCAGGCAAAGGCAGTGACAAAGAGAGGAGGGAGGGTGCTGCTCAGCGTCCAGCTGTTTGATTCACTAAAAGGATGCTGTGCCGACGGCTGCCCCAGATGCGGTCTCTAATGACGGTGTCTAGGCGTGTTTTTGTAGCTAATCTGATCCAAAATCTCCACACAAACAGACCTGAGAGAAAGAGTTTCGGAGAAGAAAAAAAAAGGGTGACTTTAGCGAACCGGAGAGAGCAGGCTAGCTAGGCTAATCGGCTAACGGAGAAAGCAGCGCACATCCAGATGTTGGCTCTACGGCGCGCCTCTGGCACTGAAGTCATGAGGGATGTTGAATCACACCGAGTGGCCTTTGGCGTGAAAGCATGCATATTTAATAAAATATGTAACATTTAAAAATAAAATAAGTCACCAGAAAGGATTCCCTCATTCATTGTCCATCACATAAATAAATCAAAGGCTTACAATATTGCTTTTTCTAAGTCATAGAAGCCTCCACTACTCACATACATTTTCAATTATAACTATTTATCAACAACAGAAAACAGAACAAAAAGGTAATAAATAATGTGAGGCTCACTGAGTGCATGAAGATTGCTATAGGCAGTTATTGTTCAAAACAAGTACACACGTTTTATTAAATACATAAGTAAAAACTGAATATATGAGATGTAAGGAGTAATTAATGTACAACTGAATAATGAATTGAAAGCATTCAGATGATGTGAAAATTAGCAATAAATTTACACACAACTCAGTAATGCTATATGTTTAAATGGTCTATATAAGTATTAAGTTATTTACATTGTTTACGCTGCATTTGTGGAAACTTGTAACTTAAATATTTACAAGTTCTTGGATAAAAGTGAAAATATTGACCCTTCCAGAGTGCACATAAATGTCTCACTGCAGCCCAAACGCCTACTGAATGTGTCTATTTTGACTCCCCGTTTGTCTCTCAGTACATCCAGGCCGAGCCTCCTACCAATAAATCCCTGTCCAGCCTGGTGGTCCAGCTGCTGCAGTTCCAGGAGGAGGTGTTCGGTAGGCATGTCAGCAACCCTCCCCTCACCAAGCTGCCGGTACATTACTTTCTGCTCCATCTCTTAGTACCAGCACTGTCAGTATTCTGAGGCTGCTGTGCTTTCTGCCTGCAGATGAAATGTTTTCTAGACTTCAAGTCAGGAGGGGCTCTCTGCCACATTCTGGCGGCTGCCTACAAGTTCAAGAGTGACCAAGGATGGTAAGACTTTCTTTCCAGCTGACCTTAGCTTTTTAGTAATTGTACATTTCATAAGTAAAGTGTTTAAATTCTAAAGTGACAGTACTTTATTGGATTTTGGCTAGCTTGCTGTTTCATGTGTAACTCCAGTCTAATTTCCTGGTAGGCGCAGGTTTGACTTCCAGAATCCATCAAGGATGGACCGAAATGTGGAAATGTTCATGACAATTGAGAAGTCCTTAGTGCAGGTGAGTTTAAGTGTTTTTTAAATTTATATATTTAGCTTTAAAAACATTAGATGGACTGTAATTGTGGATAAATCAATTATTTTCCTCTTAAATTTGTCAGGGATTTTCACTTGTAATTTTTTTTTTAAACTTGAAAGCTTTTTTTTTAATGCTTTTCTTTTTTGCAAACGTAAGTTCTGTTAAACACTGTGTTGGGACGATTACTTGTCTCCTTTTGTTATGTCACATTTAGGAAGTGTCTTCAGAATCAGCCTACTGAGATTAAAAGATAAAAAGATAGAAATAAAGTATGCCCGGTCACACTAATCCATCTTAATCAGTCTGGCAACGTTACAAGTTCATTTAGAGTTCAGTTCATCCGTATAGGTAGAATTCTCTTTTATTTGAAACATCTTGAAAGTAAATATAAATATTAGGTGTAAAACGGGCATCTGCTGCGTTTCTTACAGAACAACTGCCTGAGTCGACCCGTCATCTACCTGAGTCCTGATATTGAACCAAAGCTGCTTGGAAAACTGAAAGACATCATCAAAAGACATCAGGTGGGGTTTATGGTTTATGATGTTAAAGCTATTATAGGTAGAAACATTCTGGTCACAGTACATTTAAAGTATTTATCAATCTTTTTTGTAATAATTTGTGTTTCCATACATTGTTCTTACTAAAAGAAAAAAAAGAGTATTTTTTTCCTAGTGCGTATGTAATTTACATGTTTTTTTTTTGAGTTGCAGGGTTCAGTGACCGAAGACAAGACCTCCAGCTCTCATGTTGTGGTGCCTATTCCTACTAGCCTGGAGGAAGGTGACGCATTCATATTAAACACAGACTGTTGCTTTTGTCCCCCTTCGAGGAGCGAATAGTAGGAATTAGACATACCCTTTGTCTGCACTGTGAGCACAACTTAGAAAACAAGTAAAGTTTCATTTTGGCGTGTGGCTACATCTAGGCGTAAGAAACTTTCCTTTTAAAATTGGGTTGTTGCATCACAATCCAAGATGGCCGCCCTAATCATTTTAGGAAGCTATACTTAAAAGTCTTTGTTTTGCTATAAAGTATAATTTCCTCAAATGATTGTGGAGGTTGCTGAGGTGACTGAAGAGTTATCTATGGTGGCCAAGGCCACCAGTGGCCACCTCCTGGCTCCACCATTGCACCTGGTGGTGGTTTAAATTGCTCTCTCCACTCACCAGGATCTCTCACTCTGTGCTGCCTCAGACAAGAAAAAAAAAAAACTATACTTTTACACAGTGTAACTCTTTCCTAGTTGAATGTCTCACATCAAAAGCATTAAGGTTTCCTTCCATTCCCAGTTCAATTCCAGTCCAGAAAAACACTCCAAAACTACAAACGTTCACTAATCAAACCTGACGGGGGACATCGATTTACTGCTTGTTGTTCTGAGTTCTGCTGCATGAGTAACAACTGTGCTAATACTATGTAATATCTTTGGTCCAGAGGAGTGGGTGCGCCCTGTGATGAAGAGAGACAAACAAGTTCTGCTCCACTGGGGATATTTTCCAGACAGGTCTGTTTTGAGTTGATGCTTCATCACACAACAGTAGCACAAAGACATGAACTTAAGGGTTGTTATATTTCAAATGCTTTTATTTATTTAGTATATGTTTACATGCAGGGAGCTGGATTATTATTACTTATTCCAGTCAGAAGAACGTGTAATAATTGTGACAACTGAGGAGCATCTGTCAGCTTTTTAATCTCAGTTTGAAAGTGTGTAGCTAGAACACAGTTCTGTCACTTATTCCGAATGGAGAGTTGTAGCAGGACCCAAATGCAAGCTCAACTTAACTGTACAAACAATGAACAGACAAGCCAGCATTGTACTGTGGAAGGCATCTAGTGACAGCAAACGTAAAATTAATAACATGAGCAAATAGCTAAATTAACCAAAAACCTAAGAAATAAAAATCAGACAAACTTTACCAGGTTTAAAGTAATAAACTTTCACATGACTGAGCCTACACATTGGTCCTCCTGTGGTTTTCTCAGAAGCCTCAACGTAGAGTTTGTTTCATGACTTTTGATTTTGTTCCTCTGGCGGTCTTTAGTTACGACACCTGGATCCCTGCCAGTGAGATTGAGGCTGCAGTGGAGGATGCTCCCAGCACAGAAAAGCCCAGAAAGGTAAGTGTTATTATCTCTCGTGCCTTCTGTCACTCAACTTCTTCAAACAATTATATTTTACTTTGAATTTCTTATTAAAACTGTAGGAATTATTGAGCATTGTGTCTTCAAGGTTTTTCACAGCAATTAATTATAATTTTTATGATCACAAAATTCATGCACTGAGGGAAACACAGTAATTAAAATATATATATTAGTTTTTTAATAACTGCAGTATTAACAACATGATGCCATCTTGTTATCCCAGTTTACATAGTTATGTTTTGAAATCACCTGAATTTCAGCTGGAATTAAAACCGATAATGTTAGAGTCTGCAGAACAAGTTTATTTTCTTGTTTCTCGTTTTTTTCTGTTTTATGCAGATGATTCATTAGTTGTTTTTTAGCTTGAAGCTCCCAAGGGGGACATTGTTATTCCTTTTACTTTTTGTATTCTTTTCAAAACACTCAAAATGATGTTTTGTTGCAAACTGGCACTTGATTAAATAGTGTCTGCTCTTGGGATTTTTCTGAACCATAAATTCAAAGCAGTTTATTATCTCTTATTGCACATTCAGAGTGTTACTTAACATTTGTTGCCATGGTGAAGAATTCAGACAGCTAAAGCAGCACTGGTTCAGTCTGTCCTTTTCACTCCTTCAATTAACATTTTTTTTCTTTTTCTGTACAGTTTGTTTTATTTAAAAAGTAGCCTATAGGAAGTTCTACCCGAAGTTAACATTAGATTACCAAAGTCACTGTAGATTAGAGCTGCGAGTTTTGGTCGGAGCCCGACCCAAAATTCAGGTTGGGTTGTGCCAACATTATGTGCTTGATGGGCGGGTCGGGTCGATCTTGAGCTTTTGATGTGGTTTTAATTGCACATGTGACTCCGCCTGCCATTTGCTCTTATCACATATCTGAGGATTTGCAATTGACCCACAACAAACGACATAATGGAGATGTAAAGTATTAAACAAAAGCTACAAAGCCAGCACAGTGAAACCTGCTGATGTGTGTCAGGTCAGTTGCACGCTCAGGTCCGACTGGCTAGTTGAAAAAGGTAAAAAAAAAAGTTGCGTTAGGCTTCAGATGGACAACTGGATCATCGGCCACACGCGTCCGCTGACCGGCCGGTTGAAATAATTTTTTTTTAAGTTGCGTTACGCTTCTGTTGGACAACCGGATCATAGGCCGCGTGCGTCTGCTGACCGTCCGGTTGAAAGAATTTTTAAAAAGTTGCAGTGAGCTTCAGATGGACAACCAGATCACTGGCTGTGCATGTCCACTAACCAGCCAGTTGAAAGAGGTTTAAAAAAAAATCATGTTAAGCTTCAGATGGACAATCGGATCATGGGCTGTGCGCGTCCGCTGACCGGCCAGTTGAAAGAGTTTTTAAAAAGTTGCGTTAAGCTTCAGATGAACAACCGAATCATCGGCCGCACACGCCCACTGACCAGCCGCTTGAAAGAGTTTTTTTTTATTTTTAAATCACGTTAAGTTTCAGATGGACAATCAGATCATCGGCCACGTCTGCGTCTCGCTCCACACCTTGCTGCCATCTACAGTGAAGGAAGTTGCAGCATCTGAAGCAGCGTGCTCAATTAAAATAGCCTTGTTCCATATTTTTCCAAATAATTTCACTCAAAAAAATATTTTTGTTCATCTGTGCAATAGCCTATCTTTAGAGATGATATTTTTAGGCTATTCGTTTTGTATATTAATATCCATTTGGTGAAACAATAAATCTTATCTTCCTTTTATTGAAATATGTTTTTAAAAGATGTCAAACTGATTTGCTTACAAATTCAGTAAAAGCTTAATAATCTTAATTTTTTTTAGGTTCGAGCCTGTAATTATAGTTAATTGGTCAGGTCAGGCTCGGACAAAATGGCTATTGGCTGGGTTCAGGTCGGATATTTTAGGCCCAAATGCAACTCTACTTCTGTCACAAATTGGTGCTGGTGAACCCAGTTGTGCAGGCAAGCAAGTGAGGACTCAGGAGATTTATAAAATAAAGAATTTATTAACAAAACAAGAGCTGACGGGGCAGCAAAAACAAACAAGAATGAACAGGAGGTACTCACACAATGGGTCATCACTGGTGAACAGTAGACAATGCCAGGACAAATACTAACACAAAGACACAGACTTGAATACAGGATACACCAATCAGACAAAGTGAAGTCACCTGTGAGGGATCACGGATGCCAGAGACAGAAGACGCAGGACATAAACACGTCACAAGATGAGGTTAGACACCAAACACAAACCCTATAGACACATAAACAGAGGATCAGGGGAACACAGACATGAACACAACACCAAGGACAAAACCACAACTCCTACAACTGTAGATGTCCTCTGCTTAGTTAAACTCCAATATGCAGTTAAATATTAACATTGCCTTCGGCTTGCTTCCTGAAAACGTTGAAATATTTTTGTCGACAGGTCCACGCGAAGTGGATTTTAGACCTGGATCAGTATAACGAGTGGATGAACGAGGAGGACTATGAGGTGGGAGAGGGTTGTCCTAAGAGGAAGAGGATTTCCGCCAAGACTCTCACAGACGAGGTGACCACACCTGACGAGCGGAAGGACAAGAAACCCGGCAGCGCCAAGAAAAGAAAGCGCTCGCCATCACCCTCCCCCACGCCTCCGCCTCAGGAGAGCAAGAAGAAGAATACCAAAAAAGGGTACGGATCCACATGCGTTCTGATGCACATCACAAATACTGAAGGATGTTGGTAGTGTGGTGGTTAGTGTGAGCAGTAATGAAGCCTTGCATTAGTTCAGGCAGGTATGTAGTCACAAGTTACTTTAAATCCATTTAGCTCCTGTACATAATATATTTATACAAAAATATTGACACAGTCAGCTGTTTTATTAAATACTTTCACTCAGTTTATTTCCAATTTTTATTTACATTTTTAAAATAAAATTTTAAGCTCTGCTTTTTGTTTCATCGCCTGCGTGATTCCAGCTACTCTTACAGAACCCCCCCCCCCCCCAAAAAAAAAAAAACCTTCTGAACCTGTGAATAGTTTGGACCAAGAACTGTCTCTAACTATTCCAGATTCTTTTAGTGAATGGATGTAAAGCTCAGCAGAGAAGACAAAATGGCTTTGTTGTATAAAAGTGGATATACTTGGAAACTGTTTGGTCTGTGTTGACAGGCCGACAACGCCCTACACCAAGTCTAAACGGGGTCAAAGGGAGGAGGAACAGGAGGATCTGTCCAAAGACCTGGATGAAGCATCACCTGTTCCAGCATCTGATGAGGGAAACACAGCCAAGACAAGTAGGCCCAAAATGAAACTGTTGAAATGGTTTACACACCTAAACAAAACAAATATTTTTGCCTTCCTCACGTGGATAGATTATATTTTTTTGGCTTTTATAGGCCGTTATACTTTAATAGATATTTAGTATATTTTTCTGCTTATAGTATTGTTTCATGTACTTTTTAATTTTTATTGTTTTATATACTAAAATGTATTGGTTTGCTTGGTTGAATGTTGAAACACTTTGGTCAACGTTTGTCATTTTTAAATGTGCTAAAAAATTAAATGAAATTTGACCTCTTCATTGCAGATAACACTAAGAAAGATTGTGATTCAACCCCGGTCAAAGGAGGAACAGACATGGGTGAGCTTGTTAAAATATTTGTCGAACATTTTTCTAAGCTTTTCAGAACAAATAAAACACCATAAAGTCAGAGGTGTAGATCTTTAAATACTCATGGTTGAATAATGTTATAATAAAATAATTTAAATATATTTCCTGCTCAGTTTGTTTTCACAAACAGTTTTTTTCTGTGTAATTTGAGCAGATGAGCAGGAAGATGAGTCTATGGAAACAACAGGAAAGGTATTATAGTCACTAAAAGTGAAAATAAAGCCAAAATACATAAAACAAGCTAAATGAATCGATTTGTGTTAACTCAAAGGTTTGTGTGTTCAAACAGGAAGAGGAGGAAGGTTCTCCCAGTGTGAAGGGTGAACCTGTGAAGGGCTCAGACCTTCATGAGGACAACGTGACTGAGCAAACCCACCACATCATCATACCGAGCTATGCTGCCTGGTTCGACTACAACAGGTACAAATACAAATAGATTCAGCTGGTTTCTCTCTATAACCAGTGAGTCACCCAGCAGACTTTGTTTTATGTTGAAGTATTTTATCAATTTTGAGCACAGCATCTAGACCCACTTACTGTATGTCTAGAATGGCTGTGGTGGATGTACAGACCAGAGGGGTGTCTCACCGTCTTTATTTATTGTTTGTCAAACGATGTCAGTCAGATTTAGTAACCATGCTCACATGCCTCTTGTTTCACAAAACATAATCCCATTTATTCTTTAAATTCCCTTGAGCTTGTTCTCATCCATGCTTTTAACTCTTTTACCTGCAGCGTTCATGCCATTGAGCGTAGAGCACTGCCAGAGTTTTTTAACGGGAAGAATAAATCCAAAACCCCAGAGATGTAAGTATTTGATTCATACAAATACACACTGTTGATGTGATCCACCGGACCAGGGGTCTGCAACCTTTACAATCAAAAGAGCCATTTTACGCCTTTGTGCACTAAATTAAAAGTGTTCAGAGCCGCAACAACCTGCTACAACTGTGGTTATCAACTGGTGGCCCATGGGCCACTTTTGGTTTGTTGGAGGGGCCTTTTGTGGCTACAAGGGGTGACATTTTAAAGATAAAAATATCTACCGGTAATAATTTATATTTTTACAATTTAAGACAAATGAAAAGACCAGATTCTTTTAAAGAGAGGGTTTTTAAATTAATAAAAACTATGAACTATGCAGACCTAATTAATTAGGTATAAAAATAAAGCATAAAGTTAAACTGTGTATGTTTTACTCCTTGTACTTGTTCCAGTATTCACATATTTGCAAAAGAAATGACAGGAAAACTTTTAAAATTACCAGTAGTCCTTTGTTGTTGTTTGTATAACAACCAATAAAATTCAGTTTTGTGTTAGTTTTGGTCAAAGTTCAAAAGAGCCGCTGCAGAGGGACCAAAGAGCCGAATGTGGCTCCAGAGCCGCAGGTTGCAGACCCCTGGACCAGACAATTGAAAGTTACAGTGTATGAACAGTAGAGGGAAATATTTCAAACCACTTCCTTCCTTGTTTTAGTTATCTGGCATACAGAAACTTCATGATTGACACCTACCGACTGAACCCTCAGGAGTACTTGACCTCCACTGCGTGCCGCAGGAACCTGGCGGGAGATGTGTGCGCCATCATGAGGTAGGTGGAGGGTTTGTAGCTCGTTATGTCTTTGATCAAACTTTCTACCTGCAACACATCATCTGCACTTGTTCTTCTGCAGGGTCCATGCTTTTCTAGAGCAATGGGGATTGATCAACTACCAGGTGGACTCTGAAAGTCGGCCCACTCCCATGGGACCCCCACCCACCTCTCACTTCCATGTCCTCGCAGACACTCCCTCAAGTCTGGTGCCCCTGCAGCCCAAAACATCACAGGTCTGCAAAAATGTACATGTAAATGCGTAGATTGACATTTCTTCAAGTTATTTCACACTTTCCACCCTTACATTGTGCCCCCCCCCCCCCCCCCCCCACACCCCCCCCCCCCCCCCCCCAATCAGACTCCAGCCACCCCGCAGATAATGCCATTCCCTGATAAGGTGAAGGACAAACCAGCAGACCTGCAAAACTTTGGACTGCGGACTGACATGTACAGCAAGAAGTCTGGATCTGCAAAGGTAAAAACCCACCATCAGTCAAAACGATTGTTTTGCTATCGTTGTTGTATTTTATGAAAGTGGTGGTGATTTGATGTTTTTTGTGTGCAGAGCAAGAATGGAGCAAGCTCGATGAGGGAGTGGACAGAGCAAGAAACACTTCTACTACTCGAGGTATCATTCTTTTAATTTACCTGTGATTTTCTTATAGCTCGGTATTCCATTTCCGTTAGGTGAGGCTAATAAGGTTTTTGTTTCTGTCAGGGCCTGGAGATGTACAAAGACGACTGGAACAAGGTATCTGAACATGTTGGCAGCCGTACGCAAGACGAGTGCATCCTGTACTTTCTGCGGCTGCCCATTGAAGACCCATACTTGGAGGACACCTCCTCGTCTATGGGCCCACTGGCTTACCAGCCGATACCTTTCAGCCAAGCAGGAAACCCTGTCATGAGCACGGTGGCCTTCCTTGCTTCTGTAGTTGACCCACGTGTGGCCTCAGCTGCAGCCAAATCTGCTCTTGGTGAGATTTTGCCTCATTTCAATGGTCTTTTTTTAATTTATTTATAGCATTTATGGCTATGTGAGATGATGCTGAAGGCAAAATGTTGCTGTGAAAGGAGACCAGAGAGATTAACTAAATGACACTTTATCTAGAGCAAGAAGGAGCTTAAAAACAGTGCTTTCCCTCCTGTAACTTCTCATCAAATACACAACACTGATGAAACTGGAACTCTTCACATACCTAAATAATGTTGCAGATTTCTGTTTCATCTACTGCAGTTCATATATTATGCAGTAGATTTTTGAAAACAACCCGAAGACCTCGTTTTTCTTCATCTTAACAGCTGTATGTTGTTGCTTCCTCTCAGAGGAATTTTCCAGAATGAAGGAGGAGGTTCCTGCCGCACTTGTTGAGGCTCACGTAAGGCGGGTGGAGGAAGCAGCGAGGGTCAACGGTCGACAGGATCCCCTGTATGGCCTGGAGGGTAGTGGTATCGCAGGCACTGGGCTGGAGGAGGGAGAAAGGCCAGGTAGGATAAGCACATGCTCAAAACTGACGACAAAGAGTCATAATATCCCTAAACTGTAAACTTTTCTCACTTGGTTTCTCTTTAGATGAAAACAGTGATGAAAGTAAAAGTGACAGCCAATCAAGTGAAGACAAGAGAGATGCTAAGGTGATACTTGTTCAGTTGTTTACTTGTTGAAATGTTAATTTTGGATTTAATACTTTTACTTAACAAAACTGCAGAATTGTCAAACTGTGACTGTTGTTATTATTTCTTAATTTAGGACAGTAAAGATGGTGCAATAGAGGAGGAGGAGAAGCAGGTGGAAAATGGGAAGAAGGAAGAAGACAGAGGAAGAGAACCTGAAGGAGACAGGGAGGCGGACAAAACTGAGTCTGAGATGGGTACGAAAAGCCTCATCCGCAAGAACAAACCTAAACACAAAGTTATCTAAGAGGAAATATTTTTAAAAAGGTTTTGTTCTCTTAGTTGATGGAGAAAAAGAGAAGGATGCAAAAGAGGGAACAGAGGAAGGACAAAGAGAAGGAGACATCGAGGGAGAAAGGAAGGCGAAGGTTGAGCGTGATGTGGGAGAGGGGAACCTGGCTACTGCTGCTGCCTCTGCTTTGGCTGCCGCTGCTGTCAAGGCCAAGGTGAAGCCAATTACATCAGTGTGATATCGTTCATCGCCTGTTTTCTTTGTTGGTTTCTAAACCATCAGATTCTCTTTCACTTTGTGCCCAGCATCTGGCTGCAGTGGAGGAGAGGAAGATCAAGTCTCTGGTGGCTCTGCTGGTGGAGACACAAATGAAGAAGCTTGAGATTAAACTGCGACACTTTGAAGAACTGGAAACTATCATGGACAGAGAGAGGGAAGCTGTAAGTGAGGGAGCTTGGGATATGCTGTACCTAAAATACCTAATTGCAGTAGTTATAAAGTTATTGTTTGCTTTTTACCAAACCGTCTGAGATATGTTTGCATTTCCAGCTGGAGTATCAGCGGCAGCAGCTGCTGGCTGACCGTCAGTCTTTCCACATGGAGCAGTTGAAATATGCTGAAATGAGGGCTCGGCAGCAGCACTTCCAGCAGATTCAGCACCAGCAGCACAGCCAGGCGGGGGGCCCTCACGCTACCCAGGCCGCCTCAGGCCCCCCACCCCAAGGCCTGACTGCAGCTCAGCCAGCTCCCAGCACACCAGCATCGCAGACGGCACCCAGCCCTGCACCACCGTCCACTTCTGCTCCAGCACCTGAGTCCCAGCCACCTCCAGGAGCTCACACCTCACCTCCCTGCCCCCCAGCCCAAGCCCAAGCCCCTCACGCCAGCTCAAGCACTACACCTGTACTTCATGGTGAGTTAAATATGGGAGTTTAAACATTTATTGATACAGCAAGTTTGTTTTAATTTCCATGTTGTATTATTACATTTTACACATTTAGACCTTGTACAGGACTTGCCGCCATACATGTCGCACCACTGCAAAAGTCGCATCAGTCCAAATATGTCTAATAAAGTGGGAAAAAAAAACAAATATGTTGCTTCGCTGTATAAGTCGCATCGTATAATCCGCTGACAACCCGGAAACGTGGGCTGGTGTTGTGCCAAAAATCGATTGGCTGCCAAATGGCGGCCGCGGAAGCGTGCACAGAAGGACTTTAACAAGAACTTAACAAGATTAACACTTAAAAACAATTAATTGTATGCTCGAAATTATAGTAAAGGTGTGTCTCAGTTGAACTTTTCATTAATAAATGCACTTTAACGGTCAAATCAGCTGCATTTCACCTGAGCGGTGCGGTGAAATGCAGCTGATTTGATGTTTGCTCCAGGAGTTCCGAAGCGAGACCAAGGTGGTTTGTATGGCAAGACAACTGTCTCATTAATAGCCATTTCTACCTATTAATGAGACACTTGGCTTGCCATATAAGCTGAAGGCCCTCTAGTGGCTGAAAATGGTATTATTCAATACCAAAGTAGTGTTCAATATTTTCTATGTCAGAATGAATAAAATCGTCAGATCTCAGCCAAAAAATCGAGTTATAAATATGAGAAAAACAAAACAAAAACATAAATACGTCATGTCGCTGTATAAGTCGCAGGGCATGCTAATTTATGCAAAAAACTAACTTATACAACGAAAATTATGGTAATCATGTCAGCAGATCAGACACCAAGGGGATCATTTCATAACAACCTAAAGCACTAGTTTAGATTTTTTTTTTTTAAATATTGTAAAATATTGATAGAATTAAATATCTGCTGTGTTCTGTTGAGATGACTTTACAGATTCCTGCAGGTTGACAACTTTATCTTGTCAGGACAAATTCTATAAAAATCTCTAGTTTCCAGGAGTCATAAAGTATTTGAATCAGTCAGAAGTGAAGAAGAAAATAAAATCCTCTGTTTCACCCCCACAGAGTCCAACACCCCTCTGCCAGGGGAGACACTCCACCCCTCAGCTCCTGTCCCCCCACCACAGTGAGAAAAGAAAAACAGCTGATCATTTCAAAACCTGCCTGTTCCATCTGAAATGAAGAAGTCATCGACTGAAAGACGACAAACACATTTTTCATATTCAGTCATTTTTATCCCACTTGGAAAATCGATGTTTGACCGAAAAATAATGTAAATGTCTCTTGACTGTGTAAAAAAAGAAGTCGACTTTTGAGGAAAATTGATTTTCATCCTTTGAGGTCGACTGGAGGGCAACGTGTCAAATCAAAATTGTAAGCTGAACGCCGAAGATCTGGTTACATAGATCATCAACATGCCAGCACTCTAGAAGAACAAAAGATTTCTCTTGGGTTTTGGATTAGTTTGTTTTCCTAAAGCAGTTTGTTCACGGAGTCTCGTTCTTCCTCCTCTCTTCTTGTGCTAAAGGTACGAATATACATGTATGTAAGAATAAAAGCACTTTTATTAGGTTTCCCAAGGTCTTTCTGAAAGATTTGAAGCATTGATCTAATTGAACTTTAGCACTTATATCTTTGTTTTGTTGTTTTAAACCCTTTAAACTACAGAAGGGTTTGAAAAATCAGGAACGGTTTTCATGGTCCTTCCTCGGGGTCAAGCCTGAAGGTCTGTAATGAAGGAAAAGATTTCAATTGAAGATGATGCCTGTTTGAAATTAAATAAGTTTGGATGCAGTTGACGAAAATATGCTGTAAACTGAATTTTCTGTTACAAACACAATTTTTTACGATGTTACGGAAAGTATTTTAAAAATACTGTAAGCTTGAGGTCCTGACAAAACCTCCCATTGAAAATCAAGCACTTAACTTAAAAACCTGTCAGTATTTCTCTAGTGTGGATGAACTCTAAACATCCAGATTGTAAGTGAAGAATGTAACGTTCAAAAGAGATGACTGAATCTTTAAACCTGCCACATACAGCATGACCCCAGTCAGATTTAGATGCTGCGTTAACTGTTTTTATAATCACGTTTATCTCACATTTATTCCGTGACTTTTGTTGTGGTTGCGTTAAGAGAATCTTCAGCAACTTGTTTTTGTTGTTGCGTTTCACGTTAAAATTGGAGGAAACTTTAATGCTGTCAACAAGGGAACACTCAAAACAGAGAATTCTGTCCACAATATCTGCAACGATATCCTCACTTTTTATCCTGACAATTTTTTATATTTTTACTGTCAGTTTTTTCATTTTATTTTACTTTGATATCTCAACATTGTACCTGTATATTATCATCTTTGTAGTCTGTATTTACCCCCTCCTCCACCTGTGTGTGTGTGGTTGTGTGTGCGTGCGTATGTGTACATGCCATTAAGACTTGTAAATCACATTACCATTCAGTTTTTAATTTAAGTGCCATCAGCTGTGTGTTCACCGAGCTCGATGAATAAAAAAAAAAAAAACAGCTTTGCTCTGCACATGGACGGCTCATCCCATCAGTGTTGTGATATTTACTCCCATAAGATGGTGGAACTGTCCATAAAGCCAGTATTACAGACCTCACCGCAGTCGTGAGCATAAATGGACATCTTTTATCTGTGTTATTATTACTACATTGTGTGCATTTTGTGATATGAAATAAATGTCTGCTCAGTTTCTGTATGTTTTTCACGCTGCTCAAAGCGGCCGCAGTTATTCAGTAGAAATTTATTTTTTTCCTCTGTGAATCATCACATTAGTGCTGACAGTTACTCTGGCAGCTTATATATATATATATAAAAAAAGTCAAAACAGGTTTTCGTTACAAAATGTTTGAGAGAAAAAAAATAAAGACGTGATGAGGGGTCGTCGTGTTAAGTAATTTGTTGAATGGTGAATCACACAAGGAAGTAAATCCAAGAAATTTTGTGTCAAACTTGATTGGCTAATTTTTCCCATATAGGTTTGCAAGTTGAACACAAACACACCTTTTTGATTTTAGTATGAAAAGCAAAATGTTAAAAGTTATAACGGTGTGATGTAACGGTGTGACAGAACCAGCACACAATACTAAACCAAGAGGAGAATCGTTCTTGACTGGACAATGAAAAGCTTCCCATTTTCAAGAAACCTGTGCGTAACTCCAAAGTGCTTTTGAAAGTGAACGCTAACATTTTTTTCTATATAATTTACATGAAATCAATCATACTTTACATTAGGCTAAAATTATGCAAAAACCTAAATGGTGCCAAAGGAAATCAATCTGCTCTTGATGACTGTGACAGCAAATTAACTGAGATCCTGAGACCTCAGCACCTTCAAAACTTTTTATTTCTATTGTTTAGCATTTCCCAACGTGACATTTCATTTTGCAGATTGTAGTTAGTGAGGGTAGGGAGCAGGTTGAAGAGAACCTTGAAAGTTGGAAGGATGGTCTCCAGAGTGCAGCGGTGGAAGTCAGTAAAGCAACAAGATCAAACGTGTGTGAATGTGAGGAAAACGGCAGCAAGGGATAGAGATATTGAATAAGTTTAAATACTTGGGAGCAACAGGTAGAGCACGAGAGGTGAAGAAGAGAGCGCAGGCAGGGTGGAGCGGATGAAAACGAGTGTCAGGGCTGATTTGTGACGAGCGCTACTAAAGTGAAAGAGGTTTGGAGCTAGTTGCACTAACAAAAAGATGAAGAGTGAAACTGGAGGTGGCAGAGATGATTTTCATTGGGAGTGACCAAAATGGAAAATATTAAAAATGAGTCTATCAGACAGCTTGGGCACATGCAGTGAAAGGCTAGTGGATATATTGGACAAAGGTTGTCAAAAATGGAACTTTCAATGAAAAAAAAACAGTTTCATGACTAGTGAAGGATCTGCAAATGAATGTGAAAGAAGAGAATGCTGGGATGAGGCGAGGTACAGGCAGAGGATACGGTGGCAACCCCTAAACTAAGGGAGCAGCTGGATATTTGAGTTTTATTTTATAGAGTAAATTTCACTATGGGCTGATTCAATTCAATAATACTTTAATCCCAGAGGGAAATTATATAATGATGTCAGGATACTTGTTTTAATTAAGTATTAATGTACATTGATAATAGAATATTAATTTAATTAATTCTTTAAATCACTTCTTGGTCTACTGCCTTCATACATCTCCTCCTACATGTCTCTGCGTGAGTGCAGCTACAGCGTGCGCTCTCAGGACATTATTACCTGCAGTGTTCCCTCATTGAGGACTGAAATAGGCAAAAGGTCCTTCGCCTACTCCGCTCCTGTTTCTTGGAATATCTTACTAAAACATTTGAAGCTGTCAACCTTGACCTCTCTAAGTGGCTTTAAGAATATGTTGGACTCCTGGCAGGGACCAATGCAGACATGTTCCTGTTCTTAGTTTTCTAAATTCGCCTTAGAATCTAGCTGTTTTTTGTTACTTTTCTTTTTTTAATCCATCCGATTTGTTATAAAAAGGTTTTTTTATTTTTTAAACTGTTTATTGTTGTCGCTGTTGTCATCATTTTGTTGAAATCAGGTCTATCTTGTAAATGAGTCCTGGAGGCTGAATGGGATTTACCCGTCTAAATAAAAGGTTGAATGAATGAATGGTTACTGTGGCAGTTTCAAAATAAAGGTTTGGAAAAGAAAGGACCTCGCTTTTGGGCATTTGGCATAAAACAAATAACCAACTCTTTCATATTCACTCACTGTGGTTACCCCTGAAGAAGGGAGCAGTCGAAAGAAACTCACTTACCGAAAGACGTTTCATCTTTTCGCAACTGCAGCAGCACGTCGTGTTGGTTGGAATCAGATTTAGAGTTGATCGAATAAATTTGATTGTATGAAATAACAGCTACTTATCTTGTACCCAGTCTGTGATGATCTGTTTCCTCTACTTTGATGAGCCTGAATCAGACGGTTGATTAATTTTCCTCTGAGGTTTATTACCGTAGTCATGTCACTTTAACTGAGCAATAATTTTTATTTTTAACTGTGCTCAAAACGGAGGATTTGTCAGATCAATTAAAAACCCTCTACTCAATGCGAGACACTTGAGTTTTTCTGATCCCAAGTTATTTTGCATGAAAATGTTATTCATGTGTTTCTAATATTTGGCTGTTTTTATGCCTCCACAATATATTTTAGAAACATTTTGACCCATATCTAGCAATAAATTCAGAGGCAAAATTAAACTTACTGGCAATCTTTTCTTTATTCATTTTTATTGTAACATATCACATTATCATGTCCATCCAAAACAAAAGACAACCAGACTGAGGTTGACAAACAAAGAGAAAACCATCGGGGGCTCAATGATTGTGCCTGCAAACATGAATAATATTTAGAATACGAGATGAAAAGTCTGAACAGAAAAGGCATCTAAGAAAAAAAAAAAGTTCTACATCAACAATAGACACTGCGGAGGTAGGATGATATGAATGGAAGGGCAAGACGAGACCAACATTACAAAAATTTTCCAAGAATTTTTTTGAAATGCGTCTTAAATCCTCAACCGTTCATCACCATCCGGACGAGTTCTGTGAGGAGAAAAGGAGAAACTGCGTTAATTTGTCAAATATTTGAACAAATGAGGTGCAGTCACTCACAGACAAAAGTTCTGATCCAGGTTTCACATTAAAAATGACCTTAAAAACCAAGAATAAGAAAGCATCTTGAACTTCCTTTACCTTCATAATTGATGCAGCCGTTGGCATCTTCATGTCCTGCTAAAAGCGTCTCCACCTCGTCTTCTGTCATTTTTTCACCTGAACATACACAAATAAATGAGGTAGTTATCAGTATTTTGACAAGACAATGCAACACAGAATACGAGTCTTGAAAGGAAGCAACAATCTGCCTCAGTACTTTGCAGACCCTACCTAATGTGGTGAGGACATGACGCAGCTCGGCCCCCATCACTGTCCCATTTCCCTCCTTGTCAAAGACACGCAGACCTTCAACAATATCGTCAAACGAGCCCTGATCCTTGTTCTTCGCGATGGCCTGAAACATTGGCAGGAACTGCTCAAAATCCAGCATCTTATGATTCATCTCTGCAAGAGGTAAAAAGATAGTCAATTATTTAGTTTTACAAATGTAATAAAATTGAATAATTTTTCAGTTTGTACAAAGTGTGAGACTCTACATGACTAACAGTCAACCCAACAGCTAAGACATAGAGCAACAGTTAAAACTCCTCTGTAAACTGGAGAAATAAGACACTTGCCTTCTAGCTTGGGGTTTCCAAGAACTTTGAGGACTTCAGCATTGATTGGGTTCTGCCCAAGGGCTCGCATCACGTCACCACACTGACTGTAGGAGATTTTTCCATCACCCGTCCGGTCAAACAACAGAAAGGCCTCTTTGAACTCTAACCGTGACACACAAATGTAAGAGTTCAGTTCACTTCCAAGATAAGTCAAACATATCCGTTTATGATTTGCCCGAAGCTGTTAACACATCCGTTTAATGATTCTGACACTGTCACAATGCCTATAGAGCAGTGTCACATCAGAGCTCACAAACAAATAAGCTCTTCACATTTGCACAGATGAAAGTATTTTTAATATTATATGTCGGGATAAGTCTACTACTTCCTTTATTTAAAAATAAAAATATTTAAAGCAATTAAAACTGTTTAATCTGCAGCTCTTGGTCTGAACAGTAATCACATAAGTAAATAAATATAACGTTATACTATTCATTTAATCACATTCTGTTAAATCCAACAATATTCAGTCAGGTCATCTGGACAGTTGTTTTTTTGTTTGTTGTTGAGACATTTCGTCCTCCATCCGAAGGGCTTCATCAGTCTGAGGAGTCACAAACAAAACTGTTTTCCCCACTAAGCAGTACACTCCTACAGTGAGTGGACCAACCAGTTTGCTGATGATAGATGGTTTCTGGGGGCCGTCCTCTCCCCTGTCGACTCCTCCCAGGCAGGCAGCCACAGCCAAAGTGGTTCAAGACATCAAGATTCATTCTCAATAATCCAGGTAAAAAAATCCAACAATGCTCTGGCAGATCATCTGGACAGTTTTTTTTTTTTTTTTGAGCGATGTTTCGCCCTCCATCCAAAGGGCTTCATCAGTCTGAGTCTTGAATGTCTTGAACCACTTTGGCTTGTGGCCCAAGGTAAATTTCCTTTTGGGACAATAAAGCCTTTTTTTAAATCTATTTGATTTACCTTAGTTAGTACGTATTACAAACTGGATTCCAAAAAAGTTGGGACACAAACAAATTGTGAATAAAAACTGAATGCAATAATGTGGAGATGGCAAATGTCAATATTTTATTCGTAATACAACAGATGACAGATCAAAAGTGTAATCTGAGTAAATGTAACATTTTAAAGGAAAAATATGTTTATTCAAAATTTCACAGTGTCAACAAATCCCAAGACAAGTAGCAATAAGTGGCTGGAAAAAGGAAACTGAGCATATAACGAACAGCTGGAAGACCAATTAACACTAATTAGGTCAATTGACAACATGATTGGGTATAAAAAGAGCTTCTCAGAGTGTCAGTGTCTCTCAGAAGCCAAGATGGTAAGAGGATCACCAATTCCACCATTGTTGCACAGAAAGATAGTGCAGCAATACCAGAATGGTGTTACCCAGCGTAAAATAGCAAAGACTTTTAAGTTATCATCATCAACCGTGCATAACATCATCAAAAGATTCAGAGAATCTGGAACAATCACTGTGCGTAAGGGTCAAGGCCATAAAACTACTGGATGCTCGTGATCTCCGGGCCCTTAAACATCACTGCACCTCAAACAGGAATGCCACTGTCAAGGAAATAACAGAATGGGCTCAGGAATACTTCCAGAAAGAATTGTCAGTGAACACAATCCACTGTGCCATCCGCCGTTGCCAGCTGAAACTCTACAGTGCAAAGAGGAAGCCATTTCTAAGCAAGCTCCACAAGCTCAGACGTTTGCACTGGGCCAGGGGTCATTTAAAATGGAGTGTGGCAAAATGGAAGACTGTTCTGTGGTCAGATGAGTCACGATTTGAAGTTCTTTATGGAACACTGGGACGCCATGTCATCCAGACCAGAGAGGACAAGGATAGCCCAAGTTGTTATCAATGCTCCGTTCAGAAGCCTGCATCACTGATGGTATGGGGTTGCATGAGCGCTTGTGGCATGGGCAGCTTGCATGTCTGGAAAGGCACCATTAATGCAGAGAACTATGTTCAGATTCTAGAACAACATATGCTCCCATCTAGATGTCATCTCTTTCAGGGAAGACCCTGCATTTTTCAGCCCGATAATGCCAGACCACATTCTGCAGCAATCACAACATCATGGCTACGTAGGAGAAGGATCCGGGTACTGAAATGGCCAGCCTGCAGTCCAGATCTTTCACCTATAGAGAACATTTGGCGCATCATAAAGAGGAAGGTGCGACAAAGAATGCCCAAGACGATGGAACAGTTAGAGGCCTGTATTAGACATGAATGGGAGAGCATTCCTATTTCTAAACTTAAAACTGGTCTCCTCTGTCCCCAGACGTCTGTTGAGTGTTGTAAGAAGAAGGGGGGATGCCACACAGTGGTAAAAATGGACTTGTCCCAACTTTTTTGGGATTTGTTGACCCCATGAAATTTGGAAACAGATTTTTCCCTTAAAATACCATACCATACCAATTTATTTATATAGCACTTAAAACAGCAACAAGGCCAACCAAAGTGCTGTACAAAAGAAACAAACATGCACAGCAGACAGGAAAACATAAAATAGAAATACAGATACAAATAGCAGCAGAAGCTAACTAAAATGGCCAACAGAGTAGAGAACAGACCGGACCAAAACAAATCACACCGTGTTAAAGGCAAGCGAATAGAAGTGGGTCTTCAAGCGAGACTTAAAGACAGAGTGTGGGAGCCTGCCGGACATTCAGTGGCAACTCATTCCACAGTCGTGGACCTGCGACAGAGAAAGCCCTGTCACCTCTGAGCTTACAACGGGTTTCTGGAACTGAGAGAAGCATCTGGTCTGCTGACCTCAGAGAGCACGGTGGGACATATGGCTGCAGAAGATCAGTGAGATAGGATGGGGCGGAACTGTTCAGTGATTTAAAAACATACATGAGAATTTTGAAATGGATCCGAAGGTGAATGGGTAGCCAGTGCAGGGAGGCCAAAACTGGCATGATGTGCTCTCTATAGCCTGTACCAGTTAAAAATCGGGCTGCAGCATTTTGGACCAATTGTAGACGAGCAATGGAGGACTGACTGATTCCAAACAGAAGTGAATTGCAGTAATCAAGCCTAGATGTTATGAAGGCGTGGATCACTGTCTCAAGGTTCTTTTTGGAGAGTATAGGCTTCAGCTTAGACAGCCGTCTCAGCTGAAAAAAAACAGGATTTGACCATCATGTTTACGTGACTGTTGAGTTTTAAGGACGGGTCCATTATCACCCCCAGATTAGTGACCTTTTGTTTCTCTAGCGGGGCTAGAGAGAAAAGGTCAATGTCATGGTTCATGAGTGAGCCACTGGGATGGAACAGCATGACTTCAGACTTCTTCTCATTGAAGCTTAAGAAGTTTAAAGCCATCCAGTCCCGGATGTCAGCCAGGCAGTCAAGAAGAGGCTGAATAGAGCGTGTGCCTCTGTGCCTCAGGGGGAAGTAAATTTGGCAATCATCGGCGTAGAAATGAAAGGGTATGTCGTGTTTGCGGAAGATAGCACCTAGTGGCAGCAGGTATAAAGAAAAGAGAAGGGGACCGAGGATGGACCCCTGCGGTACCCCCCACTGGAGCGCTGTCGAACTAAAATCTTTGATATTGACACAGAAGGTTCTGTCAGAGTTAAAATGATACATTCTCTCAGTTTAAACTTTTGATCTGTGATTTGTGTTCTATTCTGAATAAAATATTAGATGTTGGCACCTCTACATCATTGCATTCAGTTTTTATTCACAATTTGTTTAGTGTCCCAACTTTTTTGGAATCCAGTTTGTATATCAACGTTGTTAGTTTAGTTGTTACTAATCTTGGTGAATATTGATGCACACAACCAACAGTTATCATACATTCTTCCAAGACAACTGACATCGAGTTTAAGTTGCAGATTCCCACACTGACATGCCAAAAGCCCACAACGCTACCTAAAATGTTTTGCAGGTTAATAGGGCATTCTAAATATCAAAAGTTAGGTTGAGTCGTGCTGGAACCACCACACAAACCTAATTTTATTAATTAGGAAATTTACTTCAAAAAATCTGAACGTATTATTGTTTACCTGTAGGATCAAGCTGGCTGTTGTGGTAACTGTGGGGTCAGAATTTAAAGCTATTTTAGATTAGCTAGATGGTAATATCACAACGATAAATCGATTAAAAGACCCCTTTGCAAATCAAATACGAATGTTTACTCACCCATAATCTGGTCTTCTGTGAAGTCAGACTGGTTGAGGCAGATTTATGAAGACAGCAGACAGGTGGGACAGGAGAAAAACAAGAGAGCGACATTTTCAGCGCTAATGCAGCGGAAGTCAGGACACGAACATTCAGTAGATGAGTTTAGCAGTGTAGCGTTAGCTAATACAGAGAATACCCAGTTAAGAAAATTTCAACAGTTAATCTAAAAAAAAGTTTTTTTTGTTTGCTTATTAAATAGGTTAAAAACATATCTACTCTCACCATATTTGTTTTTGGTGTTAGACGACCGACAGCTGATGCTCCTCCTAAGCTAAGCGGAAGCAGCTAACAAGTTTAAGGTGCGCCCTTTGATGACGTCACCAGCAAGCCCCGCCAATCACATGCGAGGATTTAAGCAGCTGCATTTCTCACATATTTGTAGGGTGTTGCAGCTGCTCTGCTTCAGGGCAAACATGGTATAAAGCCCTTACTATCCTGCCACACCCCTTTGTTAAAAAGGAAAACATTAAAAGAAAAAACAATACCTTACAAAAAACAGTGCAAAGGTTTTGAGCGACCATTTATTTTTAGAGGGTAAATTGAGAAATAGGAGGACCAATTTAAAGGATGTCAATTTAAAAGAAATTGGACTTTAAAGAAAACTGATATGTATAACTTAAGCTTAAAACTATTTGTTATATAATCAACTTTATTCTGGACTTCAACACAAAACATTACAAACAAAATGTTTTAGAAGAGTTCTTAGTTTCTTGAAATAATACTAAGGATTATGTTTTTGAAGGGCATTGTGAAATTAAATCTCCTTTAACTCGATGACAAAAACGACATTTGCTGGTAAATGGCCTTTTCATGTTTGATATAAAGTTTTGTTTGAATAACTTAAACATTTAATCAGAATTCAGATGCAACCAAAGATTAAAGTAGGCTCACACTGACAAAATACATAATTACAGCAAAACCCTCAAGACATTTGCCGTATTAAAAAAAAATGCCTAAAAAGAGCAAAGTTTGCAAAGCTACAGTACAGAGTTGTACAGAAAATTTAAGACTAAGGAAAGTTTTTCAGGAGAAAATTTTTACTGTTGCATTTGTAAATTTTATTACCCTTCAATGCATGTAGGTTACAATATTCTGCTATAAAATTCATGACGGAGCCATGTGACTGCATTTCTACAACAAACAACGCCTACATTTTATCTTTACGCACATTTAAAGGAGATTCCCCCTTTATTCTGCCTCCTCCATTGATGCCTCACCACACTGAAATCGGACAAAGTCCAGCACTTGAGCCTGCTGACCCCTGAGGAACTCTGCCACAGTCCTGCTGGGGTCTGAAAGAAAGGTCTGAGGCAGCAGGCGTGTCTCATCTTCACCAGAGGGCAGGTCATCCATATTACCCAGGGACAAGGGGGCCTCCCCTACTACGTGCTGTCCCAGTTTATGACCCAGAATGTCCTGTTCTCCCTCTTTTCCACCCTGAAATATCACCAGAGCACCATAGCGGCCCATGGCCACCTCAGTCTGACTGCTGATGCTGCCATGTACATATGAGCCAATGTGCCACTCAGTTGGGACCCTCACTGTTATGGCCCGCTTCATGTAGATGTTTTCACCGAGTCGACCTGACAAGAAAGAAAACAATGAGATTTAATCAACATCAATATTACTCGGTTATTTTCTTGGAGTCAAATACCGTAGTTACATCAAATCTGAGTAATTTAAACTGTCTTTCTTAGACTTAAAGTCAAAAATCAGGCTTCACAGGTTGTTACCATTTTATTTTTGGCCAGGAATTAATCAGCAGTGAAGTTCAGAGTGAGTCTGCAGTTCAGAAACACGAGGGGGAGGTGCTCACACTGGGGTTGGAAATCTACCGAAACATGATTTTATGAACAGTTTTGTCTTGCTGTTCATCTTGTTGGGAATAATACATCAAAACATTACTATACTAGCACAACAATTTCCTGCGAGATCAATAAAGCTCTTATCTTATCTTACTATTCAATCTACACTGAAGAACCCTTATTGAACGTTGAGATTCCACCTTTTTGATGTACTGTGACTTTGGCTTAATCCATGATAAATCCAGTATCAGCCTGTTTTGACCGGTTTCTGAATAGTAACTCAATTCCAAAGACCTTCTAGATTTGGTCACCAGCTGTTTGCTACAAAGCAGTTTCCCAAAAGGTGCAGAAACTCGGTCTTACTTTTACATAAATGTATTGAGCTTTCAGTTATCTACTAAAATTTATGTCAGACAGTGCAGTAAAGTTGCAGTAAGTTACCACTCATTTAAACATCATCGGTTTTAAATGCTTAAACGTAGAAGCGTTATATTGCCTGCTGCCTTCCTTCCACTACAAAAATGTTTTGCACACATACACAGCACGCTTTACAAGCTGAACGGTTACAGAAGAGCTGTAGAGACTGGGGGAAAACTTGCTCAGTAAGACCTACCGTACTTTATTGTTGGCTTTTTGCTCCGTTTGATGTGGCACAATAAATACATGCATACATGCATACCGTAAATAAATAAAACACTTTTGTGCAACCTCTTTCCTTGCAATCACCACTACTTAGTCCAGCATATGTCATATTAGCAGTCAGGGAAAGCCAATAATGTTACAAATTTAATCTCTAATAAGTGCTTTGCAGCATATAAACATGTATATTCATCAGCTCTCCTGTGCTGCACTGTGGGGTGGCGACAGGCTCAAAGGAAAACATTCATTCAACCTTTATTTATACAGACTAGTCTCATTGAGCCTTAAGGACTCATTAACAAGAGAGACCCGTTTTCAATAAAGAACACAGATGAGGTACAGACAACAAGAAGGGGTTCTCTGCAGACTGAAAGTGGGCGTTTCTAAAGAATAGGCATTTCTAGAGGGCAAACACTGATTGGCTAGCTGTATTTGCTGGCTCTTTAGGTAAGTTACATCAGCTCTTTTTTTTAAATTGAAGGTTTCTAAGAAACAGCGTTATATCTGCTGTCAAACACAAGATTTTCTTCTGTTTTTGGGTTGTAGGCTGCACCTGACACAGGTTGGTTTGAGTGTGGTCTGGGTACAATGAAATATGAAGCAAAACCTGCTCCCATTTGTCAAAAAGTCTGGTCTCAATTAAAGATCATGAGTCCTGTGAGCAGATAATGGCCCAAAACAAAAGCTAAAAACAAAATGTTCTCTTTAGAAGTGTTATTCTATGAGATCTGATCTAAAGGAGCTGAAACATGGAGAAGGGTTGACCCTTAAAATGTGAGACAGCTGAGGAAGTTAACCAGTAAACAGAAATATCTGCTCCAGTTGCAGAAATCTTACAGAAACTGGCAATCACTCATCTGCAGTGACTGATTTAAAATGTTGAACAAGAAAATGTGAAGTTAAAGGAAACCTCCTTTGTCCCAAAGCCAGTTTAAGTGTCATTGTTATTTTGGTTACTTTATTGTTCTTTCTTTATGAATTGATTGTAACTATTTTCACATTATTCAACAACCAAAACGGCTTTTGTTTTTTAATGTAATGGCTAGGTCTTAAAAAACAAACATTTAGCCCTCAACACTACCCATTTGTGTTTGAAATGTAACCGAAGTTCTGTGTTAAGAGAGGCGGAAAGAGAAGTTATGGAGACGCCGTTAATGTCGAATCAGCTAACACAATCTGCCTGCCGTTATACTCAGGTTTTACTTGCTTAATAAGTCTTCTGATACCTTCGTCCAATCAGGTATAACCCTTTTAGTAACGCCTGGTTTTTTTTTGTTTGTTTTTTTGTCCAATCAGGTATGGCCTTTGAGATACGCCTTCCTTTGGGAATGCCTATTTCGTCTGCAGACATACCTACTTGCAATAGACAGACACACCACTCACTACTGTTCTTCAGACACACAGAAACACAAACTGGAAAGTGAGCCTCAGAACAAACTGTTGCCTCAGATGTTTGGGCATATCTTTATTTTAAATCCCAGAGTGTAAAAGCAACTTTACCATACTTGAATAGGTTTGCTTTTTTTTGCTGGCTTTGTTGTAGAGATGCCAGTGATGCATTACCGGTAGTTTCTTTGGGTTGGACAAAGAAACCTTGACAGGGAAAATTAAAAAAAATTCTTTATTGTTGTCCAGACATTTCAAATATTTTTTATCAAAATGAAGTTTTATCTTAATGCCTATTGAAGCACCCTTATTGTTATTCACCCAGTTAGTTTCCTTTTCTCTCACTCCTCCTGCAGCTGCACAAACAGCTTCGGGTTAGTTCAGAGTGGACTCAGTTACACACAGCTCACTGCAAAAGATGCTTGGCAAGAATGGCATTACAAAATCTAACTGTCTTGTATTTGTGTTAGGAATATAAAGTGTTTAGACTGAGCCGTGATACTCATGAACGATAATGAAATAAGTTAATCTGTAATTTGTTACTGACCTATTGCGAAAGCCACCTGGTCAGCTACTGAAAGTCCTTCACCCGTACAGAGTTTGTTTAACTCATCACCTGCCAGTAAGCTCTGGAAAAACAAACAAACAAACAAAAACAACATTAAACAGAAAAAAAGTTGAGCAGGAAAAACTACTCCGTTCTGTATAAGTAAAGATCTGATACAGTATTACTGTGACATCATAAACTACAGATGTGACACTATTCCTCTGCAACACATTCAAGAACTCCGTTAGTTTTAGCTTCACACAACCTACAATCACACAGTGGAAAAAGCATAAAACTCAATTTAAACAACGTTTAGCCTACATGTAGTACAAAGCTCTTTGTAAATGTACACAATAAAAGAAAATGTAAGCATAAAATACCATCATAAGTGATAAATGTTGAATGAGATAAACGTGGCCTTGAAAAAGATCAAGGAAAAAAGCTGTGAAAAAAAAAAACATGTTCAACAGTTTAAATGTGTTGCACCAGAGAGAAAAGTTTTAAATCCCACACAATCCAGAACTCATTAAAACAAACACAGGAAAATAAAAACATAAATGCTATGAATAAAAATGTGAGATGAATTTTTATTTTTGCTCACTTGCTTGCTAACTCATATTTAGCTCACTGAGAATAACTGCAAAGAGTATAAAAAAATAAAATAAAAAGTGATAACATTCAACTATTACATAAAAACAACTAAATTTTTATATAAAATGCTAAATATTTTGGGCTTAATGCAGACATATTACAGTAATTCCTCCTTTGTTTTGTTGTTTTTAAAATTCCCTAAAGTACCTTTGCTTCATTCTTTAATAAAAACTAGTTTATAGTATAGGCTTTTTTTTCCTCAAAAAACTACAATTAAAATGTATGTTAAGTAATAAAAGTGAACTAGTTATACTGTAAAAGAAAATAAAACTAGGTATTTGCCCACATCACTAAAGCCAGGCACTTTGACAGTCTAATGAGATTTAAGAAAAACGTTAAAAAGGAAGTAAAATTAGACAACAAGGCTCATGCTCAATAATCCAGGTAAAAAAATCCCAACAATGCACCAGTAAACTGGTTGGTCCACTATAGTTGTGTGTTGCTTGGTGGGTAAAACAGTTTGTTTTGTGACTCCTCAGACTGATGAAGCCCTTTGGATGAAGGGCGAAACGTCTCAACAAAAAAAAAAAGACCTGACTGAACACTGTTGGAAGTAAAATTCGGTTTAATCAGTACTTCCTGTTTTCAAGGAGCTTCTTTACCTTTACATATCCGGCACTGCTTTGATTTTTACTCTGATGGTGAGCCGAGGCGGCTAAAGTCACATCCGTCACCAACTGCTGGAACTTCTCGTTGCGAGCGACAAAGTCTGTCTCACAGTTCACCTGCAAACACACAAGAACAAGAAGAAGCACTAAGGTATTTAAATATATCCAGCAGATTGGAGATATTTAATGGAAAGCGTGCAAGTAAACCTCTGCAAATGTTCACCTCCACCATGGCTGCAACTTTGTCTCCTACAAACAGACCGATCAGACCCTCTTTGGTTTTTCGACCCTCCAGCTTGTTTGCTTTGCTCCAGCCCTCTTTCTGAGCCTGCTCATGCAGCCAGCTTTCAGCCTGAATGTGAAACAAGTTTTATTTCACTTTTAGTCACCAAACAGCACAAGAGCAGACTGGATGTAAGGGAAAGGAGGATTACCTGAGTTATGTCATTGTCAAATTTCTCCAGAGCTTTCTTGCAGTTTATGAAAGTGTAGCCGGTGCTTTTCCTCAGTTTGATCAGGAGGGTTTTGTCTGCTGTCAGGAGCTGACATCCTGTGTGTAACGACTGCACATGATGGCAAATGTAGCCCTGAGGAACACAGATAATAATAAAATACAACAACAATGCAGAAAGTTACGAAGCTATGCCTCTATAGCCAGAGCACGGCCCGTTTGTCTGGTTAAATATCACACAGTAATAAAAGATTTCAATAGTGCTTAAAATGAAACAAAACGTTAAATGAAAAGGCTAAAATAAAAAAAAGTAACATTTAAAACCAACACGAAGAGTTTAAAATTTAGGCAAAAATACAAAGTGTATAGATTTTTCTGCTTACTTTTAAAGCTTCTCTTGTAGATGTTCTGATTAAACGCGTTAAATGCATGTTTAAAACTGGGAAATGAGCTGTCTTATGAAAGCTAGGAAGAATGTCATTGAAATCCACGCTGTGGAGGAAGGAAGCCGTATAGGGACAAAAAGCGTAGCGTAAAGTCACTATTTCTTTTCTTCAGCGTCCCCTAGAGGACAGGAAGAGAATTGCCCACACCAGACAGCTGTTTTGATAAAACATTTTTGAACAAGTGCATATTGTGCATGATTAGGCTTAAAGGCCGTCATAAAGTCAAGCCTTTTGTTAAAATGTAGTTGTTTGTGACAAGAGGAACAAAACTGAAAGACTGAGAAAAGAAAGAAACAAACAAAAACTCTGTGTAAAGTTAATCTATTACTATTACCACTACTACTACTATTACTACTACTATTACTACTACTATTACTACTACTACTACTACTACTACTACAACTACTACTACTACTCCTACTACTACTACTACTACTACTACTACTACTACTAATAATAATAATAATAATAATAATATAATGATAAACTGGGCGAGTGGCGGCGCAGAGGCTAGAGAGGGTGGGCCTGTGATCGTAGGGTCACCGGTCAAATCCCCTGCTCAACCCCCCGGACCAACAACAGGAAAACGTGGGTGGAAAAGGTGAAACACCCACACCTGCCTCCACCCTCATTTGCCCCACTCTGTGCCCATAAGCAAGACCCTTAACCACCCAGCTGCTACTTGGGTGCCCCATATGGCAGCCCACTGCATCACATGTGCAATGCGCAGAGAATTAATTTCCTCACTGGGGATTAATAAAGTGCAATAAATAAATAAATAAGAAGATGAAGTTGGGGTGAGGACATAAGATGCAGAGGACAGAAAGAGATGGAGAAGGATGACTCGCTGTGGCAACCCCTGAAAATGGAACAGCTGAAAGATTGTAACGTTAGGAGGAATGTAACACTTTTCTTTTTTTTACTTAACAATGCAATCTCTGTTTCTTCTCTTGTTAAATGAAATGGGTTTCTTTCTTTTTTTTCCCTTCTTTTTTTTTTTTTTGGAGCTTTGCTAAAAATAACTTCAGCATGTCAACGTTGCCTAGTTTCCATTTGCCTTCCACCTTGTAAGAAGCTTTTGTTTGCTTTGGCCCAATGTTTGTATGTCTGCTTCTTGGTGTTTACAGTTCCAAAGGAGCGCGTGACCTTAGTGCGATCAGGGCCCTGAAGCGTGCAGCTTCATGTTGCTCCGCATGGATCCTGAGAAACACAACATCTGGTCACTCATTCGATAAATACAACAGGTGTTGTTTCACGCCCTACTTTGTATTAGATAAAAACACCATGACCTTTATATTTTTAACTATAATTTATTATAGGTTCATTTATTTACAGCTCTGAGCCCCTCTTTGTTATTTCAACTTATTACTGTAAAGGGCAAAAATAGTTAACATCCAGGCGTGCAGTTTCTCTCAGAATACATCAATATTGCTATCTATAATTTTTCCTGTTTTGTTTAAAAGGAGTAGTCTGTTGTGAAACCTAATAAACTCCATATACATAACATTTAATCATTATGGCATGAAATGACAAGTACAAATAGCTCAGTCATGTTTAAAAGTGCATGCCAAAGGACATAATTGTGATTGGGTTGGTTTCATGTGGCTGCATCTGGATTGGCTAGAAGCTGCTATATAAAAAATGTTAATAGTCATCCCACCTTGTTTCAGGCTGCCGCTGATCCGAGATGAAAGTCAGTGCTGTTCTTGTTCTTGGTGTGACCCTGTTCTGTCGGGGGTATAGCAGTAAGAGATTTTTGTTTTCCATAATAAGTGCAAAATAATTTTAATATAATTGTGTGATTGATAGATTTAGGATTTTATGGTATTGTTGCATTCTTACCTTGTCCGGTTTGTGTCCAGACAGCTTGGATTCATGTGCGGGTCGGTGTGGTTTTGGGACGGACAGTAATTTCTCCTGTCAGTGCAACCCAGCATGCGAGAAGTATAAAGACTGCTGTTCAGACTACTCTGAATTATGCAAAAGTAAGTGACAATACAACGATGCTAGACTTCTAATAAAAACTGCTGTAAATGTTCAGTAAATAATATTTTTCTATTGGTGGTAAAACTGTGAACACCAATGTGCAATTCTCCTTTGTTCCCAGCTGAAGCCATGTCTTGCAAAAGCAGATGTGGTGAGAATTACAACTCCCAGAACAAGTGCCACTGCAACACCAAGTGCCCTCAGTTCAACAACTGCTGCAGTGACTACACAGATCTCTGTGACAGTAAGATCAATGTTTCAGTAAAACAAACCATGTTTCACCTGCTGGTATAAAACTTTGAACATTTGCAGCATTTCCCCAGCTTGTTTTTGTAGGGGTTTCTTTGAAAAAACAGTTTGGTTTATTAAATCTGCAAACTTTCACATGATGGAAACCTGATGACTCAGCAGTAAAACGACTAGCTGCCAAACCAACTAAACCTTTTTTATTTTTTCCTTAAGACTTTACTATCAGATATTGTGCACATTTATTCACACGGAGTTTAAGGAAATCTGTATGTTTTTAGATATATGAACTAAATCATTGCTGTTGATTATAACTGGATTTTACAGCATAATTTACACATTTAGACTCAGCCACACATTGAAAATGAACGGGTGAGTGTGTCTAATCTGTTGGATGTAAGTCCACAGCCAGTCATGACTGTTTTGTAGTTATCTGTGTGTATCTGCAACAATAAACATGAAGCTGAAGCTTATTGAGTGCATGCTGAAAGGTGCAAACTATTTAGTTTGGGCTCTGCCATAGCAGAAAACTAATGTATGTTAAAATCCACCTTTAATAAATTACAGGTTTTCACGTGTGAGGACATAATACATAAAAGTCTGATACCTAAAAGGAGCTCAAATTAGGTAAATATAGTCAAAATTAACAACACACAATCTGTAGCAAGGTGTTTTTTTGAAAAGAAATAAAACCAAATCTGAAGCTTTTTTTAAATTTATTTTCAATTTAAAAACATTAACAAAAAATCTTTGACTGTTTGTTGGTCAGAACCATTTTTATGAGTGAAGTAACACGATGATTAAAAAAACAAAAACAGCAAAGAACAAAACAGTTTATAATTTTTTTGACCTGTTTTTTAAAAAAAAAACTTTTTATGTGTTCAGAAGAGTAGATAACACAAGCAGTGGATTTTCTTTTAGGGTTATCTCACTGTAAAAAAAAAAATTAAATAATAAATCACAGTCCAGATGTCCAATGAATCTTAATTATGGGATATTTTTCTGTTTGTGTCCTGTAGTTGACGGGGCAGGTGGCAATGCGATCACTGATGCTGAACTCAAGACTCTCTCTGAGGATCTTTACGTCCTGGACTCGAACAAAGCTTCAGCCTCACAGTTGATCATTGACCCTCAAGCCCTGGTGCCGGACTCACAGACCAGCTCCAAGACTGACCTCTCCTCTGGACCGTGAGAAGACAATTCATCAATCTGAGTTCTTGTCTTCTCCTTTAGATTGTATGTGTTTTAATTGTCCACATTTTATTCATTATTTGTTTCTGCCTTTAGACTTTTCCGATACCTGGATGAACGCACACTCTTTTCCAAGCCCACGTACGCAGCTCTGCTGGCCGTGCTGGACAACTACAAGCGGATGACAGGCCAGGCCGAGGTCTTCAGCTCTCAGCAGCTGGCTGAGCAGGAGATGTTCCTCAAGGAAACAATGTCCAACACTGAGCTGGGCAGAGAGCTGTTCGCTTTCCTCTACACCAAAGGTAACCATGTGGTTTGACACAGATCCACAGTTTGTTATATTTACTTTAAAAGATCCCATTGCTTTTGTTTTTGATAGAATCTATTCTGAATTTGAAGGGGTTTATAAATCAGAAGAAGAGTTTCTTCACGACCTGAAGATGATGTGGTTTGGTCTGTACTCTCGCAGCAACAACCAACTGGACTCCAGTGGTTTTGAGCACATCTTTGCAGGTTAGCACAGCACAGACTGATGTGTAAATACTATATTCTTCCTATTTACTGAGAAGTAAACTCTGTAGGAGAAATCAAAGGAGGGAAGGTGTCAGGTTTCCACAACTGGATCCAGTTTTATCTCCAGGAAAAAGAAGGAAAGTTGAACTACTACAGTCACAGTTTCGACGGACCTGTGAGCATCCAACCATGAATATGTTGATCTAGTTTATGTCATGCACTGCCATCACTTATTCACTCTTCTCTTTTTCTCAGTGGACTACATATCCCGACGTCATGGGGAAGCAGTTCATGTGGGACGGCTACTACAAGCAGGTGGGCTCTTCGGTCATCGGCTGCAGCCCTGAGTTTGACTTGGCCATCTACAGCCTCTGCTACATCGCTCGGCCCGGAAAACGGTGAGAGAATGTAAATGTGAAATATCAGGGGAAGGACTTACCCAAACCACTTTGAGTCTATTCACCCTGTTACCATCTGATAAGTAACATCTGCAGTTGTGTTTGAGACGTCTTGGTTAATTTAGACTGCAACATTTTCCAGTATGGTGAATAATAAGACCACCTGCTAAACTTTACTGGACAAAACTTGATAGAAAAAAACACTCTTAAAGCCTGAACATCTTTCATGTGTGGATTCCACCTGATTTTTTTTTTGTCTTTTTCAGTTGTTATCTGAGCCTCGGAGGAAAAGAACTCATCATTCAGACTTACACCTGGGATAACTCTTCCTACGGAGATGGAAAGAAGTTCATCGGCTCTGCCTATCCTGCGTCGATGTATTGAAACAACAACTTCAACAAATGCAAAACAAGCATTTACTCTTTATTGATTGAAATGCACATTAGTAGCTTAGGACCGCCTATATCAGATAAGATAATATAAAACTTAATTGTCCACCAAGGTGGAAATTGTCCTTCGGCTCTCCAACCATAAAATAAAACACATTCATACAATCAAAATATCAACAATTTGTGCATAGAATAAAACACTTTGCATAACATAGGTAAATGTTACCATTGAGTTTGATTAATTATTGCGCTTGGAATAAATGACTTCTTATATATGTTCTTCGTTGCCAGAGGGAACGCTTTCCTGAGCTCAGAGGTTCAAACTGATGAAAGAGGTGCTATCTGCTAAAATATTCCTTGCCTTCTTCCTTGTTCTTTCTGCAAACAGTTGAGCTTTTTGTGGTTTCTCCACTATTTTACCTGCCGTTGAAACAATTCTTAAAAGTTTGTTTTTTAGTCTGCAGCTCAGCTGACCATACCAGGCAAGGAGGTGAAAAGTTAAACCACTCTCAACAGTGGCCTTGTACACAAGCTCTAGAGTTTACTGACTAACCCCAAGAGCATTTTTTAAACATAGTGTTTTCAGCTAAAGTGAGCTGGCTGTTCAGGAATTACTCTAAGTATTTAAAATTTGCCTCAGTTTCAACAAGTTGGCCATTGAGTGAAACTGGCTTCACTTTAAGGTCTTGTTATTTTGTCTTGGCTACATTAATATCTAGCTTACACTGACAGCACCATGTCTCCAGGGCCTTTATGTAAAACAAATAAGAAGTTACACCTGTGGGACTGTTTTCCGTTATTCAGCCGGAGTCATGTCATCAGCATGTTTGATTAAAACACAGCTCTGGTCATTAATCACAAATTCATTTGTAAAAAGAGAGGATAACACCGGAGAGAGAACACAACCTTGAGGGCAACCAGTGCTCAACGTGAGCACATGAGAAGTGTTACCACCACCACAGACCTTCTGTGGACGACATGATAGGAACAATCTTAGCATTTATTATTTACCATTTCAAAATAACCGTTGTCTTTAGGTAAAAGACGAGTTAGTAAAGTTTTTCTTTTCTCGGTTATCTACCAGTGAATACTTGGAATTAGTGAACTAAAAGGTTGTTAATTAAATATGCCTTTGCTGAATATGCTATGAAAAGTAGTAATGGCTTTTAATACATGTAATAAACCTCTTTAGTCTTGTGTGACCCAAAGACTATCAATTAATTTTTTTAACTCAAATTTTGTTTCTATTGAAGTGACGTTTTGCTCAATTCATTTGCAGTTTGATTATCAGTGGGTGTTATACAGTCATCTTACTTCTGTTTTACACTTCTTAGTAGGGATGCACAATATTAGATTTTTGGCCGATATGTTAAAACTTGTTTGGCAGATAACTAATACCAATACAGATATTTTTATCCCTAGACCTACTTACAAAGACTACATAGCTTTTTCTGCTATTGAATTAAAATACTACATTATTCTGCATGGTTTTTGTCAGTTTGGCCTTCTACCAGATGCCAAAAAGGGAGCTGAAAATGATGTAACACGTGAACTTGGATTATGTTTAGTGTCGAATTTATTCATGACATTTACTCAGATCTCTAACACAAAACACTCAAACAGTGCAAATTTGTAATTTTTCACAAATCTAAACTCAACCTGTTCACAAGCGACAAGTAAAAAGTGCATTAGTAGTGCGTTAATAGATATACTTGACAGTTTCTTAAATTAAAAATTAATTTAAAACAGAAGCCTTTTATATCGGTGAGTTTTTTTTGTTGTTGTTGATGAAATGGCCGATGTTCGATATTTAGCTTTGTCGCTAATATCGGCTGATACCGATACCATGTAGAGAATATCGTGCATCCCTACTTTTTAGCACAAAACTATTTCAAATGAGTAAACCTTGACATGAAGCGCTCAGTATGAAGATTTATGCTGCTGCAGTTCAGGTTTTGATTCTGTGAAACTTCGTTCCAATTTTATTTTATTTTTAATTCTTCAACAAACATCGCTGTAAAGAAGATGACTCGTTCATTTTTTACCTCCCAATCTTTGGTGAAAGATTCACATTTTGATTAACCTAAATTATAAAGTTTTGTGACAATATGTAAAAGTTCTAGCTCATTATATAATTATATTTGTATAAATGCACTTTTTGTTGAAAGGCCACATGACTGTATGGCAATGATTAAAATATTAGATCAAGTGGATATCAAATTTTAGTTTTCAAATGTTAGCGTCACTCCAGCACTGATTTACTCACCACGTGATTTAATCAAGCAGAAATAAACGAAGAAGAAAACTGAAATCCTGTTTTATCTCCGAGCGTTACTGTTGTGTTTTCCAATGCCCTAAAGATGAGGGTCAGCAAACCAGTGTGTGTTAATCGGCATTAATCAGCAGACTCTCCCGAGTCTCACGCAGCACGAGAATGTGGCGCTCTCCCAGGGGCACGATCAAACGGTGCCTAATAGGGCAAAAAATGGGCGTTTACGCACCCTGAGAGGGCACAAAGCTCACACTCCTCTGTTATAAGAGCCTGCAAGCATTTTGCCCAATTTCTCATTATCATATGGACGAGCAAAACAAAGCATTAAAAAAGATGAACTTGGCAGAAATAAAGAAACAAAAGGACATTAACAGAATTTATTCTGCTTGACCTGATCTGAACAGTAGCACCAGCAAAACCGCTTCTTATCAGCTGTCCATAAATCTGTGTCTGTGTGTGTGATTGTGTGGGGTTAAGTGTCTGTGTGTGTGCCTGTATGAATGGATTCATCTCTGTGTGCATGTGACCAGCTGGTATGGGGGTTGATTTTACTCTTTCACTCATCTAGGGTGACTAACAGGATAAATTCTGGTCTGCCGACAGAACAGGGGGACACACTTGCTGCCCTGTTTAAAGAAAGTATTACAGGAGATGGATCTGCCACTGATCCTATTGTCCACCAGTCTGTGTTCATTCATGCAAAAGAAGAAAAAAAAAGACCACAAAGAGCACAAGACCAGCTAGTTTATAGGAAAACTCCAACTTACAGCGATTCACTGATTTGGGCCTCACAAGCAGACAGAGAGTTTCAGCAGCAGGACAATAAAGTGAGTCCAGGGAGGAATTTCCTTCATTATTTTGTCAAAACATATGACGTTTTCTGAGCTGGTGACTGGAAATTAGAAGAGTAAATCTTCTCTCTTTTCACACCGCTCTATTTTTAAAGTCCCTGTGGAATCAAATTAAATCACAGAGTGGAAAATAAAATAAAATAAAAAAACAAATTCAATTGTTCCTTTTGTCACTCACACAACTTTATAATCAAATTATAGCTGGCCACCCGCCAGTGTGTCCTCGCATCTCCTCAATGGGCATTCTCCTCGCCGATCTCATGAGCCACCTGACTTTTGTTTTGTAATTATATTATCCCGCACTCCTTTTAGCGCGTTGTGGCTAATGGCTGAGCGCACTATCCCAGCTGCACATGCAGAAACAAAGCTGCTTATGGGGGCCAGACAATGGAGCCATGGAAAAGGGACGCCTGAAGGCGGTCAGCCAATGAGCACGCGCAACGGGGGGCCAGCACGAGAGTTTAGGAAAGGGTTAAAGGAGTTTAGGGGCGCACGCAGAGGGTGTCAGCTTTACTCAGGAGCTGGGTCCATCACTGAGTAGCGGGACACATGGTCAACATCACCTCTGTTTCCCCAGGCCCTGGGGCCCAGGGTCGGTGCCGGGCCGGAGGGAGGTTCAAGTTTAGCTTTAGATTCTAGCACTTTCTAAAGTTGATGAGGGAGCATGAAATACAGAGCAACATTCATTCTTCGGTGGGTTTTTGTGTGCTTTCGAACAATTTGATGACCATATTGTCATTGCTCTTGCTAGCGGTATTGATTTTGAAGTGAATGCAGCCATATGCAGAGTGAGCAAAACAATCGGTCAGCTGCAGCGACCTCAGACTGTCATTCAAGAAACATCTTGTCTAAGAACGATGCAGAAAAACTGGTTCATGCATTTATCACGTCTAGGTTGGACTGTTGCATTTGTTTATTATCTGGGTGTCTTAAAAACTCCTTTCAAAAGTCTTCAGTTGATCCAAAATGCTGCTGCCAGTGTTTTAATGAGAGTTGGTAGGAGCAATCATATCTCCACTTTGGAGTAAGCTGTAGGAAGAATCAGTTTTGTGTTTCCTTGACTGATTAAGCTTTCTGGATCGAAGGTGAAATGTTTCAGCACAATAAAAAAAGAAACTGTCCAGATGACCTGACTGAAAAGTGTTGGATTGTATACCTGGATTATTGAGCATGGACTTTGTTGTCATATCTCTCCAGTTTTAGCATCTCTCCATTGCCTCCCTGTCAAATTCAGAATAGAATTGAAAAGCTTATTTTTATCATACAAAACCCTCAACAACCTAGCTCCATTTTATATTCGAGACCTTATTGTTCCATATTTTCCTAATAGAGAACTTCACTTTCAGACTGCAGGTTTACTTGCAGTTCCTAGAGTTTCCAAAAGCAGAATGGAAGGCAGATCTTTCAGTTATCAGGCTCCTCTCTTGTGGAACCAACTTCCAGTTTCTGTCCGTGAGGCTGACACACCGTCCAGTTTTAAGATTAGGCTTAAGACTTACCTCTTTGAAAAATCCTATAGTTAGGGTTGGCTTGGGTTTCCTGAGCTATCTCTTAGTTATGCTGCTATAGGCTTTGACTACTGGAGGACAAACTGACCACATTTCCTCTTTCTACTGTCTTTACTTGCTCTACCTGCTTGTATTTGTAATTCTTTCTATCTTAACATGTTTTTTGTCTTTCCTCCTATAGAAAATACACCTGGACCTGGACCTGGACCTGCCGTTCTGTGTTCATTTGTTTCTCCTTCCTGTTCCTCTCAAACCCCAGCTGGTCCAAGCAGATGGCAGCTCGTGCTGAGCCAGGTTCTGCTGGAGGTTTCTTCCTGTTAAAAGGGAGTTTTTTCTTTCCACTGTTGCCTTTGTGCTCGTTCAGGATGGTAGACTGAAACAAAGTGAAGATTAAACGCAGTCTTCTTCCTTAGATAGATAACATTAACATTTTTAATGTATGTGGATGTTTTTGTTCAGTGCCCTGAGCTAACTTCTGCTGTGACTTGGCACTATATAAATAAATTGAATTGAACTGAAGCTCTTAAATTGAAAAACTTTTGAGTTGCTGCACATGTAGTCCTTACTCGACCACATTACCCCCCCCCCCCACAGACACACACACTAACATAGTCCGCATGCAGTGTGGTTGGCATCTCTCTGAGGACTTCCAGTATGGCATATGGACAAAATGCACTGTCCCCCACTGTCACACACAACTACACTGGGAATTTAGACGAGTGTCATGTTTATGTGTGTACTGAAGTGAAGTTTTATGTGTCATCTATTTTTTTTTTTAACGTGATAAACTAAATTCCTATCGGTAAAAGGTAAGGAAAGACTGGAGAAGCCAAGGGAGAAGCGATGGCATCTGAGCCACAGAGAGTGAGACGACCATCTGCAGCAGGACTTCATCATGGGGGGGCCTGTAAATAACAACCAGGGGACAATGTGGCACACTTACAGCTCTACACTTGTGGAGCACAGAAATTGGACTCCAGGGTGGGTCGACCTTAAATATAAAATTCAAAACATATACTTTATAAACATGTATGTGTTTTGCCAGAATTTTGAGTAAATTAGAACTGGGATGCACTTTGAACTTTGACAGTGACAGAATGACTGAAATGTATTATTTTTATTGTAAAAAAATTACGCTGGTAAGGACACAAGGCCTCGGCTATCATATTCCCCTGCTGCTTCTTCTCTTGGGGATTTAAGAGGCCAGGCTTTGCTATTCCCATCTCAGGCTGCAGGTGTGGAATAGGACAGGAAAAAATGCAGGGGGAGGATCAGCCGGCAAGGTAGTCAGCTGGGGAATGAGCCCAGAATGAAACATTTATTCTGAGTTTAAATGGAACCTTGTAACTTATCTAAAATCTAGACCAGATATCCTATTCACATCCCCTAAATTCTTCTAATCTCCTCAGATAATCTGTGATTATTCAAACTCCCAAGTTGAAATTGTAATCACAATTGGCATGTTCTTCTTCTTATTGTTAGAGGACCACTATGGTACTTTAAAATACATCCATCCATTCTCTATACCCACTTGTCCTTGTTCAGAGTTACAAGGAGCTGCTTGTTATCTTCAGAGACTGGGTGCACACTGGACAGGCCACTAGTCTATCACAAAGCAAGAAGAAGCAGAGTGATGCTTAAAAGATTGAGCTGTTCAAAGTTGTTTATCTTTGAACCAAACTTATAAAGATACATACTGAGAACCTGATAAAGTAAATGAGGCAAAAGTACACCCAACATGAACTGATTAACGTAAACTGAGCTTTCCCTAAAAACAAGATTTCAGTTTCACTGCAGTTTGAGAAAACAAAGATTACATGGACAAACTTGGATTGTCTGAGAGGTTGAGGGTTCTGCTCAGTACTTTAGCTGATCCTGGGACTTCTGGACAGAGATCTTTGAGGGGGACCAGTCCTGCATTTTAGGGGATTACAGCCCCGAGTGTTCTGGGCTTAGTTGTTAGACAAATATTATTTGTTTCCTCTTGTATAGCAGCTATGATTCTCTGCCTCCCTCCTTTCTCATAAGATGCAGTCTCAAGGTGCTGGATCAGTGTGACCAGCTGTCAAGCAGGGTGTCTGATCACAGGTACCATGGATGTTGTTCTTACAATTCATATGGCTCTTCTGGACTTCATTCCAGGTGACCTTCTTGCAACATCTTCATGTTTGCATTTGCCCTTGGGATTCCAATCTAAAACTCACAGACTTAAGAGTTATGCAAACATTTACAAGATGAACAAGATGACTGTCAGCTACTGTATTTAATATCACAGAGTTAAATCAGAAAGTGATCCTTATTGCAATATCAGTGCTAATATTGCAAAGGACTGCCTGGCCTTCATCAGATGTTTAAAACATGCAATCACATGCACCCTACATCCAAAAAATATATTTTACTAATCTGCTGGCAGTTATATAGGCCTATTATTCTCTATTAGTTCTCGTGGCTCAATGAGACTAACCTGTATAAATAAAGGCTAAATGAAAAAAAATGAAAAATTATAGTGGGTAAGATGCTCAAGTACACATAGGAAGCAGATAACAAATTGCCATCACAATATTCAACATTAACATTGTGAACTTTGTTTTTTTTTTTCAATTAGTCTATCGTGCAAACTTCACTGGTATGTTGTGATAAAATGCATGAAGCTTGGGATTTATTTTTATATGAATAATTAAAATACAATTTGAAACATTTTAAAATTTTGCGATATAAAATGCTCACAAATAAGCAGGGCAGACTTTAGTAAGAATCTTGTGTTTTTGTTGCTTCATTCTTTTTGTTATTTATTTGTTAGTTGTTCAGTTAATATTTGTCATCATGCTTCTTTTACTTGTTTATTCTCTTTATTGTTGTTTTCTTGTTTTTCCCTTTGTCACTGGTCTTTTACCTTCAGTTGACCACATGCTCTGCTCCTCTTATTGTCAGCTGTTTCCACTTGCAGTCAACCTTCACAGCCTTCTTATACTCCCAGTTCTCATTCTACCTTCAGTCTGTCATACTGTTTGTTTTTCTGCCGTTTCCTCCTGCTTGTTTCGTGCATGCTCCTCGTGGTTTTGGTCACTTTGAGTTTGTTTTTACTGCCCTGTCAGCTTTTGTTTATTACAGTATTTTATTTGCATTTAATATTTGTCTTCAATCAGCATCCTTGGGTCCTTAAATACTACATCTTGACAACTTTTGTTTACTCCAAGCTTATCAGAGGACAGTGGGTGGAAGGAATCCCCATAGTCATAATGTCTCAACCTCTCCTCACCCCTCCTGGTCCTTTTGGGAGAAGTGAACATGTTCTTCAGCTTATATCTATAGAGGGATGTCTGACCACAGGAGGAGATGAAGAAAACACACACAACTTCAAGCTGTCACATACAGTTAGGCTCAGGCGACTGAGTGCGTCTCCACTCCGCTCTGCGTAAAAATGTGCTGCGGATTTACTGACGCAACAAAAGCCTGGGCCTCTCCTGTTTGTCTGGACAATTTCAGTCTAAACATCCCGCTGACCCCCCTCCCCCCCTCTCTCTCTCACACACACACATACAAGTGGAGCTCCAGGTGGCCAGAGCCACGGGCCGGCCACGCGCAAGCTTAAGCGCGTCAACAGGAATTGGATGGGAGTGGGAGGAGGATGAAGAGGAGGAGGAGCTTTAACGTGGGGGTTAAAACCAGAAGACCCCCACAGAGTGACCCACACTGAAGGACTGGACGGAGCCACTAAACTGGTCTCCAACTGATGAGCAGAGAGGCCACACTGAGATTCTTGAAGGATAGAACAAACATCTGACAAACTTTTTCAACAAGTCCCGGGACACATCCATCCAAACAGGTAGGTTTCAGAGTTTCTGCCAGTTTTAAACAGTCTTTAAACCTAAATGTCTGCAGCATTTTGACTTCAAGGGATGAGGAGGTTAAGGTCTAATAAAATGTAACTCATTCATTCTGTGCAGCTGGTTGTTTGTGCCAACACAATCATTTTTCCTGCAGAAAATGTTTGCTCTAATTCAGCCTGAGCCTTCTGTTAGGCCAGTGATCTGGAGGATGTCAATCTTTCATTTAATCCCATGGTTGTCGCTTCATCCACGGAGTAAATCCTGCGCTGCCCCAGATTGGAGTTCTGTCAGTGACTTTATCTTGCCACAGCATTACCAGTTCACAAAATGACCTGGATTAGTGTGACCCCCATGTAGGGGGAGAGCCAGTACAACAGGCTATGCATTTATTTCTTGGGTAATAGCAGAATACCAATAAAACATTAAACTAAAACAACATAAACTTGTGATTTACTGAAGCAGCCTGTAGTTCAGGAGGGAGCTGTCCGGTGCTGAAACGTTCAAACATCGGCTGTAAACCCAGATTTACAGTAATGGTCACTGATTTTGTTTAGATTTAGACAAAACTTACAAAAGATTGAATCTTTTACACAAACTTAACAAGCTCATTGTTGGTCCAGAAACTTCTTTTTATTTAACAAATACATCAAAGGCTATGCTTGAAACAAACAACGACAAAATGTTTCCAATTAAATTTAATCTAATTTTTATCACTGCTGGAGAATATAAATCTTATAAAAAAAAAATTAAAAAAACTTATATACAGATGCCATTTTTAGGTTTATTTGTTTGAAAACTCTTCGTGTGGGTCTGAAACAGTCAAACACTCATTAAAAAATAATCTTACAAAATTTTATGGACAACAGATAAGCCATCATTTTACTGAGAATGTTCTCTGGTTAATTTAAATGTATCATTTTCATTTCAAATTTAGAAAGCCTTTTTAAAAAATTATGACAAAATTCACCATGGATGTGCAAGTTAATTTCAAATAAAAACTTATATTTGTAGTTTTGAGGTGGACAAAAGTAATTTTTTTTTTCAAAGTAGCTTAAATTTTTTGAAAAAAAAAAATGTACTGGAAATAAGCTACTTGGGAATAATGTCTAAATGTATTAGAAACAAAACTAAGCCCAAATCATGTAGAAGAAATATAAGATCCCATTGCATTTTAATTTCAAACTTTGACACAAGATTTGTATTTTTAACATCCCAGTCTGAATGAGTTGGTTACATTTAGTTTGTAAATGACTTGTGATACAAAGTAACAAACAAATGTTTTGTGCTTGAGCACAACAAAAATGAATTTAAAAGTTACTGAGTGAATTTATAGTCTATTATCTCCTGCTATATGTATTTCTTTGCAGAACTCTGGGGAAAAAAAATCAGCAAACTGCAAAATCTGCAGTTCATATCCTGAAGTTAGTCACTTGTTTAGAAAATTAAGATGCAAGAAAGAAAAACCACAGGTTTTATAAATTTTCTTTACAATCAGAATCTAAACTTTTTATTTTCAATGTTCTTAGAGGAGCTTCATTACAAAGATTACAATATTCAATAGCCAAACCTGTCAGTTTAATGAAAAAAAATGTACATGTATGTGATAAAGTTCTTCTTTGCAGAATACGATGATGATTAAGTCGTATGTGAGGGTAACGGAGGGAGAGGAGGTCGTCAGCCCTCTGCAGTGGATCAAAGGAGACATGAGCTCACCTGATGGAAACTCTTCAGTCCCGTCACACCACTACAGAGCAGGAGTGAGTCAACAGAACCAAGAAATGGGAAGTGAAGACGCAGAAGAAGAGGAGGAGGAGGAGGAGGAGGATGGAGAGGAAGCACAGGAGGATGAAAATGAGTCCAAGCGACGAGGGCCCAAGAAGAAGCGAATGACGAAGGCCCGGCAGGAGCGTTTCCGTGCGAGGCGTATAAAAGCTAATGCCAGGGAGCGCTCGCGCATGCATGGCCTGAACGATGCACTGGAGAACCTGCGCAGCATCATGCCCTGTCATTCCAAAACACAAAAACTGTCCAAGATTGAGACACTGCGGCTGGCTCGCAACTACATCTGTGCTCTGACCGAGGCTCTGGAGGGGGGGCTTTCCACAGAGAGCAGGGCTTTTATGGAGACGCTGTGCAAGGGGCTCTCACAGCCCACCACCAACCTGGTCGCTGGCAGCTTACAGCTGGGGCCAGCTCCTGGTACTGGCATGAGGCCTGAAGACAGACATGGAGTTCGTCCAACACATAATCCTCATGGTGGCATGGTGAACTACACCTCCCCAGGTCTCCCTAGCCCCCCATACGGCACCTATGACTCGACGCACATGCTCCACTTAAGGTCCATAAAAGGTCGACAGTATGAGAATCACTCACCACATGAGTATAATGCAGGAGGTGTGGGGACTCCTCCTTATGATGGGCCCCCTACGCCACCCCTGAGCATCAGCAGTAACCTGGTGCCCAAACAAGAGCCATCGCCCCACTACCCACCCCCACATCAATACTCCCCCTCTCTTGTAGATCAGGCTCTCTATCAGTCTCAGAATAGGTATGACACACACTTAGAAGGGCCATATGACTCTTACCATCCACCACACATGATCCAGTGACAGACAACATCCCACTGGACTCCCAACCAGCAGTTTGGCCTGACTGATGAAGTCCAGTTTATGATTCTTCATGAACTCTGGTGATGTTTCATGTACTTTCAGACTCATTGATCTCTCTCATTTGACACACTGCCTGTAGAAAATTTGTTGTAAAGGTAATTTTGCACTATAGACTAGCACTGCTAGAGTGTGTATTAGAAAATACTTGATTTTAAATCCCCACATTTTCTTTAAACTGATGACCAAATGATCCAAGGACCCCACAAGTACACACAAGTGTTGCTTTAAACATTTTGACCAGTTGTCCTGGTACTAAACATTAAGCACTTCTCATTCAGCTTTGATAACACGAGGTGCATGTTACAGAAAGTATTTTTTAATTTATTTAATTTAATACAATGTATGTGGAGTATGTCTTGATATGTTAAGGCTTATTTTATGCCTAGTTAATCTCTTTATGATTATTTTTTGTGTGTCCAGTGCCCCTTGTAGCATTATATTCTATATTTTGCACCCAAAACTCACTCAGAGGTGGATTTGTAAATATGAGATTTTTTTTAATCTTTTTTTTTTTTTTTGGTGGAAGCTCAAAGAATAAAGTATGTTTGAATCGTCAATAAAAGAAATGGTGTTCATTGAGAAGAAATGACAAAGAAGCAAAAAAAAAAAGTTGTTTATTTACAATATTTTATTTTTTGCATTATTTTTATGGGGGAGTGGTGGTGCAGAGGTTAGAAAAGTGAACTTGCGGTCTCAGGTTCAATTCCCCCTGCTGACAGTGACACCAAAATGTGGGTGGAAAAGATGAAGCATCCATATCTGCCCCACTCTCGGCCCTTGAGCAAAGCCCTTAACCTTCCCATCTGCTCCCCCAGGCACCCTAGATGGCAGCCCCCTGCTCTGCACATAGATAGATAGATAGATAGATAGATAGATAGATAGATAGATAGATA